TGGGAGAGATGCTAACAGATAGCCCAGGATCTGCCCCCCTGGGTCAGGATCTCAGTGCTCACTCCTTCCCTGCAGACGTCAGAGTGGAGGGGAGGACCACAAATATCTGCTCCCTTGAGAGGGAAACAGAATTCCCAAATGTGTGCAGGCATTATTTTATTTGCGAGGAAAAAGAATTCATGGGGCAAGATCCTCATTTTAAATTCAAACCAGTGGTGCACTCACCACACTCTGGTCAGACAGAACACATCCTCACTTCCAGTGGTGCTGTGGCCTGTTTATTTTGGTAACTACTGCTCGACTGGCCCCTCCAGTCACCAGAGAAGAGGAAGCTGCTGTGTAATAGGATCCCAAAGCACTGACTGTAGCCCAAGGTCACTCACTGGTGAGTCATGGGGCAGGATCTGTTTTGAAGGCCTGGCTCTTCCTGTCTACCTGCCCACTGCTCCAGCCCCTCCCAACCCAAACAGGCTGGAGGCAGGAAGACTGAAGTGGCCTCTGGCCAGTTCCCTGTTTCTGTCCCACTACCCTTCACTTCCCCTCACTGGAGTCCCAGTGAGTTAGACACACTGCCCCACCACCCTGGACCCAGCCCCGTCCTTCCCAGCACTCATTTGCCCCACCTGCATAGCCTCTCCCCACTGAGACTTGAGCTTCCAGACAGACTTCCAACACAAGATTCCAACAGGGCCCCTGGAGTGCCTGGCTGGCCCATCACCAGAGATACCAATGGTCCTAGCCAAGCTGCCTCAGAGGACAGGCCCAGCAGGACCTGGAAGTGCCAATTGCATCAGTCACCACCCCTCCGACAGACTGGCCCTCTGGTTGGCCCTTGAACTTCCAGTGGCAATCATGATTCACGTGACTTCAAACCCCAGACTTCCTCATTCTTCAAAGGTACTTCCCAAGGCTGCTGTCAGTGCTGCCCTTCGCTGCCACACTTGAGAGGCAGAGGGGTTAGTGTGCAGAGGGAATGACTATCGGGGGCCCCCCCCTGCTTGGGGCCACTAGAGGTCTGAGCATATCTCTGGACCTGAGCCCAGGCTGAAGAGCACTGTGAGCAGCTGGCACCCCTGGGAAGTAGAAAAACTCAGGATGGAATCATTAGAGGCAACCTGCATTTGCTAAAGCCTCCGGGGCTCTGCGAGTGACAGATCTTGCCTCAAGATCACCAACTTGAGCCGGAACACACCGAGATGATGAGGAATAAAAAGCACAGCTTGGGCTGGGCTTGTGAGAAAAACTCAACTAGAACAGCGAAGTAAAAAGCCATGGACAGCTTTGACAAAAGGGAAAGAAGCTGGAGGGCACTAAGGTACAAGGTAAGAGTGGAGGTCATGCCATGGAGATTAGCTGTGTGGCCTCGGGCAAGTCACTTGACCTCCCTGAGCCTAAGACCACTGTGAGGTGGTGGTGATGACAGTACCAAATGAAGGTGCTGTTTAGGAGAAACTAAAGGCAGGCATGAAGTGTGCTGAGCACAATGCCTGGCACTCAGGGGGCTGAGAAACAGGAAGGCACAGCTCCAAAGCCTGCTGGCCCCAGCTCACTCCCTGTCACCTGCAGAGACTTGGCAGTCTGTTCTCCCTTTGGAAGTATCTACAGGCACCAGACTGACTTCCATGCTAGGACATCTGTTAAGTCCTGAGGATCAGCACAATCACACAGGACAGCATGTCTAAAGGCCCACTGAGTACCAAAAACCAACCACTACAGAGAAAGGGGAGAAGCAGAGCCATCAGAAGCAAACTATCAACTCTCTTATGAGTGGACAGCAAGTATTCCTAGCTTGCAATGGCCAAGGAGATGGCCACAGGTCGAAACTGTCCATGGGTTAAGATCCCTAAACACATGAGCAAATGTAAAGATTAAGGCAGTGGTTCTCAACCTTAGCTGCACATTAGAATCACCTGGGAATCTTTTTAAAATCCTGATTTCTGGGCCTCATCCTCCAGAAATTCTGTTTCTTTGTTATGGGGTGGGGCCACAGCATGAGTAACAAAGAAACAGAATTTCCGGAGGATGAGGCCCAGAAATCAGGATTTTAAAAAGATTCCCAGGTGATTCTAATGTGCAGCCAAGGTTGAGAACCACTGGGTTAAGACAATGTGCTTTTTTTTTTTTTTTTTTTTTTAAATTGACTTCAGAGAGGAAGGGAGAGGGAGAGAGAGATAGAAACATTAATGATGAGAGAGATTCATTGATCAGCTGCCTCCTGCATGCCCCCGCACTGGGAATCGAGCCCGCAACCTGGGCATGTGCCCTTGACCGGAATCAAACCCGGGACCCTTTAGTCCACAGGCCAACGCTCTACCCACTGAGCCAAACCAGCTAGGGGGACAATGTGCTTTCATATATATAAAAATATATATGTGAACAAAGAAGAACCTGCACCAAGAATTTATTTTTATTTTTTACATGTTTTGACAAGGATGTACACCAGTGACGGTGAACCTTTTGAGCTCGGCGTGTCAGCATTTTGAAAAACCCTAACTTGCCCTGACCGGTTTGGCTCAGTGGATAGAGTGTCGGCCTGCGGACTGAAAGGTCCCAGGTTCGATTCCGGTCAAGGGCATGTACCTTGGTTGCGGGCATATCCCCAGTAGGAGATGTGCAGGAAGCAGCTGATCGATGTTTCTCTCCCATCGATGTTTCTAACTCTCTATCTCTCTCCCTTCCTCTCTGTAAAAAATCAATAAAATATATTTTTAAAAAAAAAAAAAAAAAGGGCATGTATCTTGGTTGCAGGCACATTCCCAGTAGGGGGTGTGCAGGAGGCAGCTGATCGATGTTTCCCTCTCATGGATGTTTCTAACTCTCTATCCCTCTCCCTTCCTCTCTGTAAAAAAATCAATAAAATATATTAAAAAAAAGAAAAAAGAAAAAAAGAAAAACCCTAACTTAATTCTGGTGCCGTGCCACATATAGAAATTTTTTGATATTTGCAACCATAGTAAAACAAAGATTTATATTTTCGATACTTATTTTATATATTTAAATGCCATTTAACAAAGAAAAATCAACCAAAAAATGAGTTCGCGTGTCATAGGTTCACCATCACTAATGTACACCAAAGCAGAATAACCCTGGGATCGTTCCTATGACAGCTAAAATAAAGCTTAAGAAAGATAAATGAGACAGTATCACTTTATACCGAGTCAACAGATGAGACAGGCGCAGCTATGCCACTCCCAGCTGTGCGGCCCTGAAGAAATGTGACTTCATTGCTCTGAGACACAGCTTCCTGGACCTCTGAAATAAGGACCTCGATCACACTGCCTCTCCCCTCTCACACGAACTTCATGAGCCTCCCTAGGAATGAGCTGAAAGGGAGAAGCACTGGGAACTCTCTCCCAGTTGGTAGGTGACACCAAACTCTTAAAACACTGAAACACCAGGGGGTCAAGTGCAAAGGTCTGGATGAAGTGGTGGAAGGTGGCAGCTGAGCTTCAAAGAAGGCAAGTGAGGGAAACGTGCTGAGGGAAAAGCATCCAGATTCAACTCCAGCTTGATGGCCTTTCTCCATCAGCTACACGCCAGAGAAAAAGCTGCGTGTCAAAGGCCTCCTTCGTGTGTATAACTTCCGTCTTAATGAGCCAACCCAGCGAAGACTATCATCAGGAAAGAACGTGGAAACAAACTAGAAGCCCCATCCTGGTCTCTAAATCATTCTAAAACCTCAAATACCCTTGGGGGGGGGGGGGTGAGAGAGAAAACAGAGAACTCTCAGAGAAAGACATTAGGCCACAACGACACAGCTTTTCAGCCTAGATCTGCAAAAAGTGGTATAAGATCCAAGGCACAGAGAACTTGACCGTTTCACCAAACCCCAGTGTCTGAGTCCTTAAAGAGACGACGTGAAGATATCTCCAGGAAAGGCCTGAGACATGGCACAGAAGACAGCTGGAACACATCACAGCCAGAGAGTGGCACAGGGAGAAAATAGAAAGACCTTCAAGAATGGTTCAAAGTGCCCTGACCGGTTTGGCTCAGTGGATAGAGCATCGGCCTGCGGACTGGGGGGGGTCCCAGGTTCAATTCTGGTCAAGGGCATGTACCTTGGTTGTGGGCACATCCCTGGTAGGGGGTGTGCAGGAGGCGGCTGATCGATGTTTCTCTCTCATCGATGTTTCTGACTATCCCTCTCCCTTCCTCTCTGTAAAAAAATCAATAAAATATATTAAAAAAAAAAAAAAAGAACAGTTCAAAAGACCGTGGAGATGATGAACTGTGCTGGGACCAAGGGCAGAGTGGGGTCCACTGCCTGTTTTCCCGGTAAAAGCCAGGCAGTGCAATCCTGCACTCACACTACACTGCCTGTACCCTCCCTGCTGGACACAGAGCTGGGCAGGAGCAGCCACTGGGCTCCCTGGGACAGCAGCCACCCCACCATCCCCCACCCCGGCAGGCTGTGGCCTCCCTGTGTCCACAGTAAGGAGACCAGTCCCTGTCTCTTTCCCCTTTCCTTTTCCTCTGCACACCAGGCTGAGCAAAGAAACCTCACCTCGCCAGGCACATGGTTCTGAGAGCCAAGTTCCAACTGTTACTGAGGCTGGAACTGACGCCTGGTTATCTAAAATGCCACAGGCTCCCTTTTTCTAGAATAAAAAACCAACTACTGTAGAATTTGAAAATATACTTTAAAATCTAAGCAGATTAAAAGTCTTTTTCTCCATCAATCGGCTGACACGAAGAAACCTCCCCGCATCCCAGAGATTGCTTAGCTAGCTTTAATGCCCTGCATCCTTATCTTCTCTCCGCATACCGCGCCCTTCCTCGGGCGGAATCCTCAAGAGCAGCAGTCTATGAGCATGGCCTGGAAAGGAGGTGCTTGGCTGGACATCTAATTAACGAGGGGTCGGACCACCAGGCAGCCAAGGGGCTGTTTCCTTCCACCAAATCCTGCCCTGGCTGTTAGCTCTCCAGCCACACCCCATTCTGCTCCCCGCCGAGGAGCCCCGGTCGCCCGGGAAGAAGAGGCCCCGGCGCGGCGGCCTTACCTTTAAGCAGGTCCGGATGCACATAGCCCAGTACGTCGGAGACCCCCAGCTCCTGGCGGGAACAGGTGCCACCGTGGATGTGCAACCAGGCAGGCTCGGCGAGGGCAGTGCACAGCGCCGTGATGGACAAGGCGCCCGGCAGGGCCGAGGCCAGGCTACGCTCCGGCTGCTTGGGCAGAGCACTGCCTCCCGGGCTCCTCCGCCGGCGCCCGCCGGGCAGCCCTGCGCCTCCCGGGGCATACATGCCCGGGGCCGCCCGCCGTCGCTCCGCGGTCGCTGCTGCTCGCCGCCGACTTCCGGGGGGCGCAGTGTCTGCCTGTTCCAGGGAGGACGCAGGTGAGGAACCGTAGGGCTGCCAGGGCGGACACCGGAGGCTGGGGGAGTGGGACCTGGGGCCGAGCGGAGACCCGAGGGCTGCAGGATTCAGGGGCGGAGACGGCGACTGGGTGCCTGGAATGGAGGCGCGGAATGACGACCCGGAGAGGATTGGGCTGGAGGGCGAGGATATGGGCTACTGATGGGGGAGAGACCGGACCCGGAATCTCAGCTAGAGGGTGCCAAGGGGGGAGGACCAGGCTGAGCCGTAGGGATCGGAGACCCTGGATCCGGGAACAGTGCTCTGGGGTGCGACCTCTGCCCAGAAAAGACCCTTCCCACGTCGATCGCTGCTCCTCACCGGTCAGCACGCCTCAAGGGTGGCGCCGCTCGTCCCGTCCTCAGCTGCCCGGGCCAAGCGATCCAGGCCCTAGCCTAGACCCACTACTCCCGGACCGACCCGGGTCCGACCCACTTCCGCTTCCTCCGCCTCGGCCTCCGCCTCCTCCGGCTCCCCGCCCTGTCTCCGCTCACGTCATAGTCCAGCGCACCACAGCCTCGCTACGGCCTCACGGGACTGGTAGTTCGAAACGGTACGGCGACGCTTTATGCCGGGGTGGGAGGTCGACTACAACTCCCAGGGGGCAGCGCGGCCACATTAGCGGGCACTTCAGTTCCTAGGTCGACCGGGATTCTCGGGCGGAAGTGGCCGAACCGGCGGTCCTAGGAGGCAGAGTCGGGTCCCGGAATCTGCACAGAGGAGTCTGCCGAGGGGACGCGCCCAACTCCTCCTCGTACTGCGTCGGGTCGCCATGAAGGACTCGCTGGTGCTGCTGGGCCGTGTCCCGGCGCACCCGGACTCGCGCTGCTGGTTCCTGGCCTGGAACCCCACGGGAACCCTGCTAGCCTCGTGCGGGGGCGACCGTAGAGTCCGCATCTGGGGCACCGAGGGTAAGGCTCGGCCTGGGCGCGCGACCCCGCCGCCGGGCGTTCCGCGTGCGTGCTGTGCGGGTGCTGTGCTGAGGGTGAGTCCAGGGAGAGGGGGGGAGAAGCCACCTCTAGGAGTCACTCCTAGAAAGACTTTTCAGGCAAGTACTAGAAGCCAAAACGTCAGCGGACAGCCTGGAACTGTGGAGGAAATTGTGATAGTTGCTGGGGCAGGAGACCGATTAGAAAAGGGCTGTGAAAAGTAGCCTGCAGAGTAATTTGCGACGACGGTAAAGTTTAAATTTTATTCGACAGCCTTTGTGTGTGTGTGTGTGTGTGTGTGTGTGTGTGTACGCGCACGCGCGCGAGTACTTTATTGGTTTCAGAGAGGAAGGGAGAGAGAGAGAGAGAACCACCAGTGATGAGAACCATTGATCAGTTGCCTTCTGCACGCCCCAAACTAGGGATGGAGCCTGCAACCCAGGCATATGCCCCAGCCATGGTATTGATCCGTGACCTCCTGGTTCATAGGTGGACTCTCAACCACGGAGCCACGCTGGCTAGGCAGCCTTTGATCATTTTAAATTAGGAGGTGATGCCTCCAGAGGAAGTAGGTCAGTTACTTCTTCCTGAAAGCATATTGTTAAATGTGCCCATTGAGCTTGGCTCCAGCGTCAGATGACAGTGATAGTGTTTCAGTGTCTTCTTGTGCGCTCAGCCCCAGTGCCTGGCCTGGCCTCTACTTTTAGGTGACAACTGGATCTGCAAATCTGTCCTTTCTGAAGGCCACCAGCGCACTGTGCGGAAGGTGGCCTGGTCTCCCTGCGGCAATTACCTGGCCTCTGCCAGTTTTGATGCCACCACTTGTATTTGGAAGAAGAATCAGGATGACTTTGAGGTAACCAGACTGGATGGGACCAGGATCGTTGCAATTTGCTCCCCAGAACTGGTTCAGGAACTTGAACCAACCTGGGCCAATGGTGTATCCAGGGGTCTTAAATGCCATTGATTCTTGTCCCTCTTCCCTTCTCACAGTGTGTGACCACTCTGGAAGGCCATGAAAATGAGGTCAAGTCAGTGGCCTGGGCCCCATCTGGCAATCTCCTTGCTACCTGCAGCCGAGATAAGAGTGTGTGGGTCTGGGAAGGTGAGTCTAGGTCCCTCCAGGTGCAGTTGGGAGCCAGCAGACAGATAATCTGCTACGTGACCCTCACAAGGTCAGCTTGTGGGCTCCTGTTTGTTTTCTTCCCACAGTTGACGAAGAAGATGAGTATGAATGTGTCAGTGTCCTCAATTCCCATACGCAGGATGTCAAGCATGTGGTCTGGCACCCAAGCCAGGAGGTAACAGTCTGGCAGAGTATCTCGGTGGGAAGGAATTCTGGTATGGAGGGGGTGCCCAGCCCCCCTCTGCTTGTCAGCCTCAGCTGGCTTTCAAAGAGATCACTACCTGTGGCCAAAAGACATTTGTCCCCGTTATAAAGAAGCTCCCTGGGACTGTCCTGTCCTAGCAGGGGGAGGTATTGGAGCCACAGGCACTTCCTGAGCCGTAAGTGCTGTGTTTTCCCCATGTCCCCAGATGTTAGCCTCTGCCAGCTATGATGACACGGTGAAGCTATACCGGGAGGAAGAGGACGACTGGGTGTGCTGTGCCACCCTTGAGGGTCATGAATCCACCGTGTGGAGCTTGGCCTTTGACCCCAGTGGCCAGCGTCTAGCGTCTTGCAGTGATGACCGTACCGTGCGCATCTGGCGCCAGTACCTACCAGGCAATGAGCAAGGTGAGGGGCCAGACACAGAGCTAAGAAGACTCCTCTCTAAGAGGTTGACAGTCTGGCTGAGACCCAGATGAAGCACAGCAAACGGGTAGAAGGGGAGACATGCCATGAGAGAGCGCCGGAGAGATGGAAGAAGCAGGGAAGGCGACGTAGAAGGGCTATTTCATTGGAACTTGAAAGGATGTGTAGGATTTTACAAGAAGAGAACTCTGGGTGAGAACAGAACAGCATGAGCAAAGGCATTAAAGATGGGAAAGCCTAGATCTCACAGGAGCAGTGCTTCCTTTAGGTGAAGCATGAGGTATATAAAGGTTTGGGGGGAAATAAGGTGGGTTGGGCTGGCTGGTCGGTGGCCTTCAAAGGCAGGCTAACCAGTCTGCAGCAAAAGATTTTTTAAAGAACAGCACATTTCCTTCTCAGAATTCTGAAAAAAATACCAGTCTGGCCATAGTATGTGAGGCAGAGCCATGAGAGTGGGGAGAAATGAAGATGAGGACTCATGATTGAGGGTGAGGGTAAGCAAGGGCAAGTTAGAATCTCTGCAGTGAGGCATTTAGACCCCTGAGGTGCCTGGGACACAGATGTGCCTTGGACTCAAGAGAAGTCTGTCATGCAGGGGTGGCGTGCAGCGGCTCTGACCCCAGCTGGAAATGTATCTGCACTTTGTCAGGCTTCCACTCCAGGACCATCTACGACATTGCTTGGTAATGCCTCCATCTCCTTTCCCCATCTCCACTCCACTCCCCAATTTGGAGACATTTTAGAGAAGTCAGACCATGTGCTGCTCTCTGCCCCCTTTGGTAGTTCTAGCCCTAAGAATCTATCCCTAGATAATGAAATCTAATCCTAAATAATGAAGAGTTGATGTGCCTCTAAGCTTTATTTATATTAACAAACATTTGGGAGTAACAAAAACAGGCTTAAGTGTGGTAAAATTCAATGGCCTGATATACTACTTTTAAAACATGATTAAGCAAAGTTCATGATGACAAAGGAAATTGCTTGTGCAAAGTGACCAAAGTGTAATTCAGTATCTTACTTAGTTTTTTAGGTTAATTATATTGGGGGCAACCTGGATGGCAGCACTTGAATACTTAGGGGGTGATGTCTGTGGCTATATATTTATTAATTAGGGGAACTCTTCAATAAGACATGCTAGTTGAAGCCAGAAGTTTGGGAAGAAAGCCAGCCAGGGCCTATAAAATCAGCATCCTCTACTAACTTGCTGGGCTGGGGAGGGAGGAGCCACCAGCATACTCACTGATGCATGTGTTCCTCCCAGGTGTTCGCTGACAGGGGCCCTGGCTACAGCTTGTGGGGACGATGCCATCCGAGTGTTTGAGGAGGACCCCGGCTCAGATCCGCAGCAGCCCACCTTCTCCCTGACAGCGCACTTGCCTCAGGCCCACTCCCAGGATGTCAACTGTGTAGCCTGGAACCCCAAGGAGCGAGGGCTTCTGGCCTCCTGCAGCGATGATGGGGAGATGGCCTTCTGGAAGTATCAGCGGCTTGAAGGCCTCTGAGCCACCTTGACTTTGGACAGAATTATGGTTCCCCCCAAAATGTCATTAAGACTTTTCTAGCCCAAGAAGACCTGGAAGAGCAGCCTGGCCTTCCTTTAACTTGGCTCTCCCGTTCAGATCTGGGTAGATGTGTGGAGCCATGTGACTACTCACTCCTTCCCACGTTGACATGGGCCCTTGGTGAAGAACTGTGGAAGAACAGTACCTTGTAGTTATGCCACGGATTTTGCTTCCCTTAAGGATAGATACAGTGCTAAAGTTTGCGGGGTGAATGTACTACTTATAATCACCATGTTTATATATCAGAGGCATATATCTCAGACCTTTCTGAAATTGTAAGCCTTATAGAAATAATCCATCTGAGTCCCAAGTCCTATTTATATTATTAGGACATTCATAATTTAAAACATTTCCATGATGAGTCCCTTTCTGAAATAGGTCCTGCCTTCCTGATTTCTGACGAAGTCCTTGCATTTAAAACATTCACTCAGTATTGAAGATTTTCTGATGTAGGCTAGTTTAGAGTAAGACATCTCTGCTTTCCCTTAGGAACCTTTGTGTATCTTCTATGCCTTCCGGGGAATGCCAAAAAAATAGGGATGGGTGTGACATCTAAAAGGGAGAATTATTATTGGCCATAGGCCATGCATTCTCAATGGAGCTGAAAATTGGCTCTTCGATGAAGGACAGAAAAATCTTAGAGACAATGATTTGTGGCCTTCCAAGGGACTGTAGTACACAACATGCAGTGTATCTATGGTATTAAATTTTCATGGTGAAGGCAAGTAGGCAAAAGATGTCTGATATAGCCCTGCTGGTTGCTCAGTGGTTAGAGCGTCAGCCTATGAACTACAGACAACTGGTGGTCCGTGAGGTCCAAAAGGTTGGCGACCACTGGACTAAAAGGTCCCAGGTTCTATTCCCAGCCAAGGGCACATACTTGGGTTACAAGTTCTCCAGCCTTGGTAGGAGCACGTATGGGAGACAACCAACCAATGTGTCTCACATCGATGTTTCTCTCCCCTTCTTCCTCCTTTCTACTCTCTAGAAATCGATGGGAAAAATATCCTTGGATGAGGATTTAAAAAAAAAATAGATGTCTGATACAGCTCTTGAAGAGAGTGATAATGAAAAAAAGGTGGTGAATACTGCCATGGGCGATCAGTTCTGTCATCTCAAGTTCTTTTGTCATTTCCATATGGGTTTTGACTTGAGGACAGTTCCCCAAAGCTATAGCCTTAATTTTTTACACAGAAATATTGACAGACTGAAGTGGCACACAGAGCAGTACCAACCCAAGCGCCTGGAGGTTGGGTCCGAGAGGTCAGCTGTTGACATGTTGGCAGGAACCATGGCAGTGGCACCAACTACTAGTTATAGTTTTGGGTTTTCTTTTTCTCTCTTTTTTTTTTAAATCATCATCCGAGGATATTTTTCCCATTATTTTTTTTAGCAAGAATGGGAGTGGGGGAGAGAAACATCAATATGAGAGACACGTTGGTTGCCTCCTGCGTGCGCTCTGACCAACTAGGGCCAGGCATGGAACCTGCACCCCAGGTACATGCCCTTGACCAGAATCGAACCTGTGACCATTTGGTGTGTGGGCTGGAGGTCTAACCACTGAGCATACCAGCCAGGGCTGTAGTAGTCTTCACTGCCTTGCTCTCACAGCAGTATTGTCAACTTCACTTAGAAATGTCCTTCAAGAACAATTACAGGCTATTAGTAAGATCTTGACCCTTGGGAAACGATGGCAATGGCAGCATGCAGAAGCACAGAGGTCTGTCTTAAGGAAAAGCTAATGTGTAGCTGAGTGAGCTATATATCATTTTTACTTAAAAGAAGTAGCAAATTGTGGTATCAAAACTTGGCTACTTGGCCTATGATTTCTAGGAAATGAATGAGCCTTTCACTTCAAGGGCAACTGATAGCATTGCCAATGATCAAGCTTTCAAGCAAAAATTAGAATTTTGGAAAACTTGCATAGCCACCATGAGCTTGCCATCTTCCCAATTCTTACTCTCCTGATGAGATTGGTGGTGATACCAACAAATGTGACTTGTAGGATGAAATATGTTGACATATGTCTGCCTGATTAAGTGAATCAGCATTTTCCAAATGATTAATGCATGATGTTACAGAATCACTCATGGGTAAGAAAGACTGTAGGTCTTAACGTAACGGTACAAGAAGCTCATTGATAAGGTTTCAGACTCCACATTGCACCTAAGAAACTATCACTTACGGAGTCTCACTATAGCATCGAATAGCCACAATTTCCTGAAATGACTATAAAAACTTCCAACTGTTTATGTGCATAAAGTCAGTTTTACTTCAATTTAAATAACACACAATTGGAGCAACTACAAGAATCCTTGTCTTCTATTTAATCAGACAGGAATGAGATTTTTAAAAATGTCACAGGCCATTCTTTTCCCTGGATTTGCTTTGGAAATAATGTTTTTATTGATTTTAGAGAGGGAGAGAAAAACATCAATTGGTTACCTCCCTCTAGCACCCTCACCAGGGACTAACCCACAAGCTAGTATGTACCCTGACCAGGAATCAAACCAGTGACACCCATGCACGGGATGATGCTCAACCTCAAACAGCCACACTGGCCAGGGCTGTTTTTATTTTTAATATAGTAAATATCAGTGGATAATAACCTCTGGGGTTCTTAATTTTTATAGTATAAAGGGTTCCTAAGATCTAAGGAAAATATCTTTGAGAATCATCTAATGTTATACAGTTATTCCTCAAAAGCAGAAGGCAAGAATTTGGAGTAGAAAGCTTGTAGATCTGGATCACAGTATCAGTGTACCCAGTTGGTACATATCAATCCCTCCTGTGCTGCCTCCTTTGGGGGGTGGGGGGGACAGAGTCTGCAGATCTTGAGAAATTTCTAACCTTGGATCTGCCCCTGCAGCTGTGTTAGTTCCGGCAGTGGTGGTGATATCCGGGTAGCAAGAGATGGGGGCAGGTATACTGACTAAAGAGAAGTTACCTAACCCCTCCTCCACACTGGCTGAAATGGCTGCCTGTGACAGCCCAACAAACAGCCTTGTCCTCCAGAAGTATTCCTTCTAAGCGAGTTCAGTGGTTAAAAAAATAAATACTTTTGGCCATGGGGCCTTAGGTTAGCAAAAGGAAATTTAATTTGGAATCACTGGAACAACAAATGGCTTCTTCAACTTGTTTTATTAGAATGTCTGATTGTATAATCAAAGAACTACAAAGAACATGCATAAAAATGCTGTACAGTTTATACTTAACAGCTACACGACACCTGCAGACACTGGATCCAAAGCTTGGATGGCAAGGTAGCAAGCGGAAAACTGGAGGTGGGCTGGGACGGCACCTGCATTGACTGCAGTTCTCCCAGCCAACAGACCTGGCCTCCATAGCTGTGATGCCATTCAACTGTACAAGTTTCAACTCTATGCAAAGGCAAAGGCCTCTGCACTCAATCCGAGTCACTGTCTGTCTCAGCTTCTTTCACATCCACACTGAATTTGTATTCCTGGTCACATCCCATGTAAGCATCACTCATGAAGTACAAAGTGTAGTTGTGGGCACCAGTGGCCGGGGCCACGAAGTCAAGCTTCACCTAGAGAGAGCAGGCAGGAATCAGGGTGAGCAGGACACGGAGAGTGCTCCCGCCTGCCTATCTCAGAACAATTGCTGGGCCAGTGGACACTCACCTTGGCCTTCTGCTGCAGGGTCAGCCTCTTGATGGAGATGAGACTATTGGACTTGGCATCTCCGATCACCACCCACCAGCCCTCTTCACGTTTCTGCAGTGACCAAAAGCCAAGAATTTCAGCACATAAAAGTTGACAGCTATGCAATACTTACAACAATAAAGACTTTAAAAAATAAAGTGAAACTTGACAGCCATGAGACCATGAGAATGGTTACAAAAGTAGGAAAACAAAAACCAGATAGAAAACTTTCTAAAATTTCCTCATGAAATATAATTTGATAAAACAGTTCATTTGCCCTGGCCAGCTTGGCTCAGTGGATAGAGCGTCAGCCTGCGGACTGAAGGGTACCAGGTTCGATTCCAGCCAAGGGCACATGCCTGGGTTGCGGGCTCGTTCCCTAGTGGGGGGTGTGCAGGAGGCAGCCAATCAATGATTCTCTCTCATCATTGATGTTTCTATCTCTCTCTCCTTCTCCCTTCTTCTCTGAAATCAATAAAGAAATATATTAAAAACACACACACACACAAAAAAAACTGAGTTCATTTGAGATACCTTGTAACAGTTTCAAAATCTAAGTAGCAAATGGACTCATTTTTTTGGTTCTGGCCCTTCTCCATTCAGTACTTGCCCCTGCATCCAAGATTCCAGTGTCAGAGATCGAGACTCTCTGGCCTGGCAGCTTTGAGCCCTTCAGACACCCCTTTAAGGCACATGTGCCAGACTGACTGACACATAAATGGGGAGAGGAACCTGCCGCAGAGAGCATCTATCAAGACACCTGCTGCCACTCCACTGTGAGAAAGCGCAAGAATTCCAGATCCCAGCATCATTCCTCAGAACATATTAAACCAGTTTGTAAAATTAAACTTAGTATATCTGGTTTCTGCTTTTAATCTTTAAAAGCATATCCTGCCCTGACGGGTTTGGCGCAGTGGATTAGAGCATCAGCCTGCAGACTGAGGGGTCCCAGGTTCAATTCCGGTCAAGGGCATGTACCTTGGTTGCGGGCACATCCTCATTAGGGGGTGTGCAGAAGGCAGCTGATTGATGTTTCTCTCTCATCAATGTTTCTAACTCTCTGCCCCTCTCCCTTCCTCTCTATAAAAAATCAATAAAATATATTTTTTTAAAAATCCTAGCCTAGGGTCCTGGGTTCAATTCTGGTGAAGGGCACATGCCCAGGTTGTGGGCTCGATCCCTCCTAGTAGGGGGCGTGCGGGAGGCAGCCAGTGATTGATTCTTTCTCATCATTGATGTTTCTGTCTCTCCCTCTCCCTTCCTCTCTGAAACCAATTAAAACAAAAACACACACACATCCTGGAACCATTTAATTTAAGGTTAAAGACAAATATGTTTTAACAATCACAGATTGGCAAGACTGTTCAACTGGTATTTTTAACAACGACCAGTCATCTTAACTGTCTTAAGGCAAAAAAAACATCAACAGCCCTAGCAATTTGGCTCAGTGGATAGAGCATTGGCCTACAGACTGAAGGGTCCCAGGTTCCATTCCAGTTAAGGGCACATATCATGGTTGGGGCGTGTGCAGGAGATAACCAACCAATATGTCCCTCTCACATCGATGTTTCTCTGTCTCTCCCCCTCCCTTAAAAAAAAAAAAAAAAGGCAATGTCCCCATTAATTCTCAGTATATGCTTCATGACTTCATTATTACTCTAAACGTCTCTCCCCAGTGACAGCGCACCCTTGTACTCTGACTCTACCAGTGGACAAACGGCCTCCAGTAGACATCTGGAAAAGCCAGCTACCAGGACATACCTGTGGGAAGAGAGGTGCAATCACGGGACCTGTGACTTCCTCCTCTCGCTCCAGCTGTACCAGCACCACAACCGGCCCACCACTGGTGGGGAGAAAAGCAGGGTAGCACATCAGCACCAGGACAGTGGAATCACAGCACACCAGCAGGAACCCCAGGGCAGGGCACCTGGCCCTCTGACTCACCTGCGGATGCCGTCCTTATCCACCACTTCGTAAGAGAGCTCAATATTAGGGTAGCGGTTGCAGAAGCGGGCCACGTCTGCCATCTGGCCGTCAGACAGCTGAAGCAGCGCATTTCGCTCTTCATCCTCCATCTCCATGATGTCGAAAACACTCTCCACTCCCTGCAGTGGGCATCCAGAGGTCGGGAAGAGAGAACACTTGCTAACAACAAATGAAACGGCTCCAAGTGGCTGCTAATTCCCATCCTACCCTATCAGACACCTACAGACACGGCTTCACACAGAGCACAGCCGCATGCGTCAGGCTCTCTAGCATCTCAGTGCATAGCACCTTCAGAGAAACCAGACAGAACTAGAAATCTCCCCTCCTGTGACTCACCGCCTCACCCCAAGTCCAGGACACTCAGCTCTCAGTCTCACCTTGTCTGTGCAGCGTTTGATGTGCTCTGAGGTGAAGTGTGGCAACTGCTTCAGGTATGAGTCCTTGGACCACATGGCTTGGGTGACCATCTGGGCCAGTTCCATGGCTGCCAGAGCAGGACTGAGCCACCCATTGCTGGAGAGGACATCTACACAGGCCTGGATGAGCCGGATCGCCTGCATGGGGGAGGAGCACGACAGCAGGTAGGGTTGTAACTGCTACTTCACAGGCCCCTACAGGCCTCCCGACCACGCCCACACGGCACTGACTCTACCTTGCTAAGGATCTCCTCGGTATCCGACTGCAGCTCAGCACTCAGCTGCATGCGGGACAGGTGAGCCTGCAGGAGCAGGTTGGTCTTGACATGTGGGTCATTAAACTTAGGGTTGTTCAGCTTGTGCGGGACCTTCTGAGCCAACTGGAAAGCACAAGAAAAATAGCCAGTGATGAACAAGCGACCCAGCCTGAGACCAGCTCTCAGGCCCAAGGCACCATCCATCCCAGGCTCACAATCCCTCAAAACTCAGAGGGTGGCGGTGGAGGTGGGTGACGGGGGTGTGGTGGGATTTTCCTGTGTTGACAGATCTGTGTGCTGTGGGCACATGGGCCCTTCTCCTGAAGCCAAGGTGTCCTCACCTGCCGCAGGAGGTTGTCCTCATGGTGCCGGATGGGAATGTTCTCGTACTCAGCCGCATTGGAGATGATCTCGATGAGCCCCCGCACCTTGGTCTTGGCATTCAGGGACATGCTGAAGAGCTCTGACAGACACAGATTTGGGAGGAGTCAGAAGCAGCAGAAAGGAGCAGGGAAGAGAGTTCACTGTCTGGGCACTTCTGCCCTGGCCTGCAGTACGTCCCTCTAACAGACTCTGGCACTAGAAGCCTGTTATCTCCTCCCGGGTAGCTGCACCCCTTCGGAGCGGGGCTCCCCACAGACAGACAGCAGCTTTCCCGGCCCCTCACCTATGGTTGTGTAGTTGATGTAATAGTAGGCGGCGATCATGCCCAGGTTCAAAGGTGCCACATCCATCTCGTCCTCTATGCTGATGCACTTGGACTGCTCCAGGTCACTCAGGGTCTGCTCCACCAGCTCTGACAAGTGGTCAGACAGGTGGCGGTGGGAGATGCCTGTGAAGGAGAGTGGTTGGTGAGGAGCTGCAGGGAGACGGCCAGCGAGGGCTGAGAAAACCACAGAAGGACAGTGTGTTCCAAGGTGTGCTGACCCTGCAGGTTGTAGTAGTTGGGGTTCTGCGTCATGCGGCGGTACAGAAAGGTCCAGGTGAGGTAGTCCACGGCGTCCTGCTTGTTCTCAATGGTCTTGGTGACAATCTCAGCGTTGAAGTGGTCATGCATGCAGTGGTCCAGGTGAGACTCCACTGGCAAGGGCTCGTATAAGAACTTCTTGAAGAAATCCTGTGGGTGGGGAGGGGAGATAATACTAGTCAATGACACCCTGGTCACAAAGAAGAGATGGACCTTGTGAGACAGACACAGCCAACAACAAAATGGAGGAAAGCAGCTGCAAACTAAGTCTGCACAGGAGTGTTTGCCTGTTCCCACTGGCATCAGCGGTTACTCTCACAACAACGGGACAGGGATACACAGAGTTGTGCAAGCTGAGCAGCACAGGAGAAAGAGGAAGATGGAACCAGCCAGACGAAGACCAAGGACACAAGAGCTCCAAAAACAAAAGGCTACAAAATTCCTTGGGGCTGAAAGGCTTATAACAAAGCAAGGTGGGCAATAACAGAAGCAGCTGACAGAAAGAATGGAGTAACTAAAACCTCCACGAGAAGAGGAAAGCCTGTGTTCAGAGGCCAGGACTGACCTTTTTGGAGCCCTGGCACATGATGACACAGCGCCCCTCGTCATCCTGCAGAGGTCGGTTGGCATGCCCTACCATCTGAAGCACGTCATAGATGGGGTAGTCCACGTACCTGGTGAGAGAGGGGACAGAGGCAGCGTGCATCAACACAGGGACCTCACAGGAGGCTGTCCCTCCCCCGACGTCAGAATAAAATGCAAACATGGGGAGACCTGGGCACATCACAGCAAACACTGGGTCTATGACTTTCTGTGCTGAGGCACCAGTTTCACTCGCAGTTTTCGAGTTGTGACTTTTTTGCTCAGGGTTCTTGATTCAAAGCTACAAACCCATCTAATGGCAAAAGCAAAATAACTTTCTAATGAAAAGATCACATGTGTAAGTCAAGCTTCCCAAACTTAACAGCTGTGTATTTCATAAGTTATCAAGTCACCTGACTTAAGTCCAAACCTACAAGTAGGTTCAGTCATTAAAAGTAAAACTCATTTCAAAAGCAATCTGCATTTCGGGAAATATTATTACCGAGTTAAATTATTTGAGCTTTTCTGAGAAAAAGCAAATCATCTACTTCTTATCACCCCAAGAGTATGTGACCTGGACCAAGTCACTTTCCCAACCTACAGAACAACAGGTTTAACTACATAATCCCTAAGGTTCCTTCTGGCTAAAACTCTCTGGTTCTCCTCTTTTTCTTTTTTAAGAAAGATATAACAACTGTTTAATACACTAATGACTACAATCATGTTTCAAATAGATGCTATAAAGCTGTGTTGTATCATGGTCCCTGGTTCTCCTCTTACTGCAACCCGGGAGGATGACTGTAAGAGCCAATGTGAGCCCACGTTCTGAGACTGAAAACTCTCCCCAAAACCGGGCTGAACTGGAATTCAGCTGGCTGTCGACGACCCCAACACCTTTCCTCCATAACAGTTAGTTCCTGGATTTGCAGGTGCCCTGTCCATTTTGCGAAAGGCTCCCCTAGCGCAGAGCATAGTGGGACTCACGCGTGAATCTTGCCATTGTAGTACTGGGTGTCCATGATGATCACCAGGTGGGCGGCCACGCTCATGCCCCAGCAGAGACTCCGAGAAGCGACCACCACCTGGATGGCCCCTGCACAGAGGGGAGGAGAAGACTGAGTGCAGGGCTCCCTAGCTGAGGCAGGGGTTTCAGAAACCAGAGCAAAGCTTGCTGGGAACAAGGTCTGATATGACTAAGAAGGCACATGCAGTACTACAGGAGGTGGCTCCTGACAGCGTCACCTGCTTGGGGGACTATCCTAGAGGCAAGGAAGAACCCTGAAACAAGACTCCCAGCCCAGGGAAAGCTAGGTTTAGACACCTGCTTAACTGGCCCTGCTCACTGGGCAGTGCCAACTCAACCATGAGCTGGCTCAGTCTATGGCAGCAAAACTTGAGGGTGCCCCAAACCAGACAGACTCAAGGCTTCAATCTGATAAGAAGCGATTCTGGCAGGACCATCTCCCCTGAAGTTCCACCACTGCCAAAATGGTAATACCATTTACGCACCTCTGAGGTCTAACGACCTTAGTAAGTCTGATGTCCACGGAAAACCAGGTCTAGAAAACCAGGTTCTGAAATGATATAGCCTTGTGTCTCCTTGTTGTCTCTCTAGTAAGTAGGGATAGCATCTGTCCCACCGATACGACAAGATTATTGGGGGAATTGAATGTGATATCAGGTTCAATAAACAGTGTAGTACTTTGAAAATGACTAGTGTGCTGCAGGGAACTAGCACCCACACCCTGGAGTTGAAAGCAGACCAGCGTGGCCTGATTGGTTTGGTGGTTGACCATTGACCTATGAAACAGGAGGTCACAATTCGATTCCCAGTCAGGGCACATGCCCGGGTTGTAGGCTTGATCCCCAGTGGCAGGTAGAGGAGGGCCTGCAGGAGGCAGCCGATCAATGATTCTCTCATCATTGATGCTTCTCTCTCCTCCTCCTCCTCCTCCTTTCTCTCTGAAATGATTAAAAAAAAATAAAAAAAGAAAAGAAAGCAGACCACCTACACATTCTGGCAACAATACTCTCACTCTGAGCCACCAGGTTTCTCACCTGAGCTGAAGAGCTGCTCCACCAGGCGCCGCTCCATGGGGCTGAGCCCCTCGTGTAGGTAACCCACACCATTCAACAGCGTCTCCCTGAGCGTGTTGTTGCTCAACTTCTCCAGGTACGGGATCAGGTCCTTCTCGGTGCAGTGCAAGAACCTAGGCAGCATCAACACTGGCTCAGTTCGAGAGGTTCCAGCCCCACAAATACCCTCCACTGTGGAGTCACCCGGCCCCTAGCCAGAGGGGGGCTAATCCCACCCTCATAAACGGACCGCCCCTTCAGGGTGGGACAACCTCCCATGACCCAACTTCCCTTGGCCCCACCCACAGAAGCCAGGCCAGACAAGAGGAAGTGGACAGAGCCCAGTCCTGCCCACCTCTGCCGCTGGATGTCCGCTGCACACGTGCTGAGGATGTCGATTGCAGTGAGGCGGGTCTGCTTGCGGGATGGCACAAAAACGATGACAGGCTTCTTGGGCGAGTGCTTGGTGATTGCATGGTACACAGGCTTGGCCATGGACAGCAGGCGAGTCTGTGTGTGGCTGATGTTAAAGCCCTAGGGACCAAGGAAAAGAGACAGAGGTTACAAGACCTGGTACTCTGCACATGAGGCCACGAGGAACAGGAAGAGCGGGTCCTACCTGGATGTGCAGCTCCAAGGGCACAGGGCGCACATTCGGGTGGAAGTTGAAAGTGGACGTGGCACTGCACCCCAGCCAGTGGGCCACATCCTTAGCATTTGAGAGCGAGGAGCTAAGTGCCACAATGCGAATGGGCCGCTCAATCTGGGAGGAGATATAGCGCATCCGGGAGCAGATCACTTCCAAAACAGGCTGGGAGAGAGGACAGAGGGAGGAGGAGTCGCCACAGGCCCAGGTGCCACCCTCAGCCCTGAGTTACCCTTAATGCAGCCCACTGCCCTCAAAATGTCTTAGTTCAGTGATGGCGAACCTATGACACGTGTCAGAGGTGACACGCGAACTCATTTTTTTGGTTGATTTTTCTTTGTTAAATGGCATTTAAATATATAAAATAAATATCAAAAATATAAGTCTTTTTTTTACTATGGATGCAAATATCAAAAAATGTCTATATGTGACACGGCACCAGAGTTAAGTTAGGGTTTTTCAAAATGCTGACACACCGAGCTCAAAGGTTCGTCATCACTGTCCTAGTTCCTCCTCTGATTAGAGCTCCCACCTCTTCCACAGCAGCTAATCTCCGCTAAGATTGCCACAAGAAGTTCACACCATTCCTTTGAAATAAGGTGACAAGAAGAGTCCTTCTGGGAAAAGTCCTAGTCCCTGACCTCAGATTCAAACATGAGGCCCAATGCCAAGGCCATTTGGCCAGTGGCAGCCCCCTCTGTGCTGTAAGGTCAGGCCATACCCCATTCTCGCCCCCAATGAGGTGGACCTCGTCCACCACGAAGAGGTTGATGTTCTGGACGTTCTTGCGCTGCTTCCAGCGCCGAGAGAGGATGTCCCACTTCTCAGGGGTACTGATGATGATGTTGCCTTTGCCCAGAAGCTTGAGGTCTGTGCTGGTCTCACCCGTCAGAAGCACCACCTTCTTGCTGAGCCGGTCCTGGAACTTCTCGTACCAGTCCATGTACACCTGGCAGACAGGAAGAGGGGGCCAGAAAGTGTGAGGCACGGCCGGGCAACAGTTCCTTTATTATGAGAAAAATCTGAGGAGCCAAAGGGAGAGACGTGTTGCTCTGTAGCTCCTGAGCTACTTTACAACCCACACCAATTTAAGCAATGGGACGCTCCTCTTCAGATCAGACTGAAGAAATGACCAACAAAAAGCAAATGGTCCTGCCCCAAATAACCCTACAGACTTCGGGCCTTAAAGAAGCTTGACCTGGACTCACAAATGGAGACAGCCTCTGGGAAAGCACGGAGGTGGCGGCCCATTGCTTACCTGCTCTGCCAGCGCCTCCATGGGGGTGATGTAGACACAGCGCCCCTCCGAGCTCTGCAGCAGCATGCGCAGGATGGCGAACTCCGCACAGATGGTCTTCCCGCTGCCAGTGGGTGCTCCCACAAACACGTTGTCGTCACTGTTGTACACTGTGTTAAACACTGCAAACCAACAGAGCAGCACCGTGAAACCCAGGAGGAGATGCAGAGCGCTCATCAGAGAGTCAGCAGGAGCACTGAGGGGCGACGGGATGCAGCCCCTCCCCACAGTCGGGCTGCCTGTCAGTCCCCTCATGGGTCTCCATCCCACACAGAAGGGGCGGGGGTCAAGATCAAGAGTTCCAGTCCCATGCCCAGCCAGTGTGGCTCAGTGGTTGAGCATCGACCCATGAATCAGGAAGTCTCCATTCGATTCCCGGTCAGGACACATGCCCGAGTAGCAGGCTCCATCCGTGTGTGGGGCGTGCAGGAGGCAGCTGATCAATGATTCTCTCTCATTATTGATGTTTCTATCTCTCTCTCCCTCTCGCTTCCTCTCTGAAATCAGTAAAAATTTAAAAAGTAAAAAGAGTTCTGGTCCCAGGGGGACTTGCAGGACAAAAGCAGAAGCAAAGCAGGCCGAGTCTCTGCCTTAAGCTGGTCGTCTCAGAGCCCAGACGCAGAGCAAAAGGGCCCTGGCTACCTTTCTCTACCTCTGGTGCTCCACGTCTCCTAAAAACAGTCTCATGTGGAAAGAAGGAAACAGCCAAACCCCAGCATCGAGGCTGGGTGGACATCCAAGTCCTGTTTATTAGTTCATTCAACTGGGCAGCTCTCTGCCTCATTTTCCCGATCTGTCAAATAGGACACTGACAGTAATATCTCACATAGCAAATCCCTCATAGTGTTAGTGGGAGGAATAAAAATGTCCATGATGCCCTCAGAACGCAGGCGTGTTCTGTAGACGTCTGGTGTACAAAATGATAAGGGGAAGGCCTCAGTCAACACTGGACAACGGCCAATACTTGAGTGTCAGGGGCAGGCAGTCCGCTGAGCTTGAGAAATGACAATGCACCATGACTGATGAGACCCTGCCCCACCACCCTCCTCAGTGAGACACGCAAAGCAGCAAAGCAAACCTAACCATCAAGGGTTTAGAGGGGGAGGGCGACGGGTGTGCTCCTTCAGCCAGCGCTGATGGGCTGCCACGCCAGCCAAGACCTGAGCACACTGCCCTTCTGGCCCAGGGAACATCTCTCGGTGGCCTTGCTAGGCCTCCAGGGGAACCAACACACCTACCTTGGGTCTGGATGGGGTTGAAGAAAGGAAATTTATCTTGGTAAAGGCTCTCGAAGGCGCTATTTCTCAAGGCAGACACGGGCAAGGGCTGCAGGTCCAGAAGTTCAGTGGGAGGTGGGTATTTCTCTGGCAGGATCAGGTGTCGGAAGGAGACCGGAAGCTGGGTCTCACAAGCTGCCAGGAGAAAAAGCAGGCAGCCCTCTTCACCTAACGGCTCCAGATCCCCTCTGGGCACCCTGAAACCCCAGGCAGCATGTGCTCTCCCCCAACCAGCTCATTCCTACAATCGCCTGGAAGGGCCTGTCCCTAGGGGGCTGTGCAGAGGAGACACTCACAGAGCCAGCGGTCAGACACCACGCGGATGAAGTACTGAGGGGGCAGTGGTTCAAAGACAGGCACAAAGAACGTAATGAGGTGCTCATCCTGGGCATACTTGGCCTTGAGTAGAAAATACTCATGGTGCAGTATCACCTCACTGTCCACATCCTCCACCAGAATCCAGAATGCCTCGGACGAACCATGGACCTGAAAGCATGCACAAGCAGATGGAGCGTGAGCAGCACCTCCAAGCCAGCTCTCCTCAGATCACGCTGAAGCCAGTCCCTCCGCCAAGCGAGAGCTTACCTTTTCATCCCACTGGAAGTCCGGTGTGATGGTCAGCTCCACCTTCAGGGTGGAGCGCGTGATGGGCTGCAGGTGCACCGACAGCTCCAACTTGGGGAACAGGTGGACGTATTTGTGGATGGTCTTGCCCATCTTCGGCATGCGGATGAGCTCCCCTGTGAGGACACAGAGGGCACAGGGGCTACAGCCCAGCCCACCAAACGTGGGCCACCAGGAAGGAGCAGATTCTACTCCAGTGTGGCAGGCTGTTCCCTTCACTCTCAGTGGAGCCCAAAGGAGTCAAAGGCCAAGACCAGGGGCGGGCCCAGTGCTTGAATGGGCCACGAGAGGTGACCGGGACATTAGGCACAAGGCCTAGGACCTGGAAAGCATGAAGGCTTAGAAAGACATCTGGGCTGTAAACCAGGCAGGTGACAGTTTCCCACACACCTATCTCATTATGATTCAGGTCATACAGACGCTCAAAGGGGAAGTTTTTCTTCTCAATCTTCTTCACTACTTCCTCAGGGAGTTTGCGGAACTGACGCAGCGGACACATGGACTGCCACCTACCCAGGAAGAAAACAAACTATTTAACCCCTTGTGCAGGGCCTGTAACAAACGGCCCTCATCGTGGCTCCCGACAGGTTAGCTGTGACCACACAAGACACAGCTGTTAAACACATTAGAAACCGTGCCAGTTGTGGGACCTGAGAGCCAACCCTCACCACCACCCTGTGCCACTCCCCGGCTCCACCCCTCAAGGTCTTCTCTCTTCTCAGCTTCCCCAGGGGCATGTCCCATTTCGTGCTTCAGGACCAGAGGTCATGTGAACTCCCACCACTCTCAGCCTGGGGAGCCCAACATGGGACCAGCTGCGAGCACCCCGAGTCCTTACATGCGTTTATCGATCATCTTGCAGAGATTCAGGGTCTTGTCTGTAAGCTGTGCCCAACCGCGGTTCAGGACAATTTCAAAGATGGCCCGCATCAACCGGCCCGCCGACTGGAGAAAGACAAAGCATTCCCTCTGTCCCTACTCTGCAGTTCAACTGCCTCACTCTGATGCCATCAGCCCCACCATCTCAAAAACAAAGTCCCTCACCCTGACTGGGGTGGCCCGTTGGCTGGGTGTCATCGGGTGTACTGAAGGTTACTGGTTCAATTCCTGTTCGCGGCACATGGCTCTACCCCCAGTAGGGGTAGTACAAGAGACAGCCTATTGATATTTCATGCTACTATCTACGTTTTCCTCTTCCCTTTCTAAAAATCAATAAAAAATCCAAAACCAACAAAGTCCCTCTGTAACTACTCTTTCCCCCTCTATACAGTAGGTGCTTGCTAAACACAGACTAATTAGAAAAGGCAGCGTGAGCTCACCACACGTTTTAACCTAAAGCTCACTGTAATTTTAAAGCTTTGAGCCCTTTTAGCATTTAGGGCTCCAGCAAGAGTAAGATGCTAGTGACTTGCTCTCAGAAGTAAAGTTTAACAAAGAGTAGCTAATAAAGCTTTTCATCAATTCTGGGCAGTGGCCACAGAGGGAAGTCCTCTCTAGGGAAGCCGCTGCCGTGTGTGGCTCTCTATGGAGGCCTCACCACTCTCTCCTGAGGCCTTACCTTCCTGCACGCCCAAGAGCAGAGAGACAGAGCAGCTGTATCACACACGCGTGAACCAATGAGCCAGCCATGGCAACCCCAGCAATCCCTCCCTCATGTGTTTAGCCCACGTTCTCCACAACGCACACAGCACATGGGAGCGAACTGTTCAGCCCGCTCTCCCGGCGGTACAAGTCCGCCCTCACCTGTGTGACATACACCATGTCAGCCATCAGTGCAAAGCCCTCCAGTTTCAGCTGTGATATGAAGGCTTGGAGAAGCACGTTGATCTGAAAAAGCAAGGTCAGCCAGAAGGCAGCCAATTATTGGATAGTCCAAGGAAACAGATCACATTCTGCTCTGGGCATCCATGCCAGGTAAGATGTTCTACAGCTCTTGGCTTAGACATTAAGTAACCTGCTCCATATGAAAAGAGCGTGTGGGAAGACTGCTGGGAGAACCAAGCAGGCTAGCCAAGCACAACCCCCATCTTTCAGGAAATTCTGAAACCACCTGAAACCCTCACCTAAGAAAGGTGCTGGGCTTACCTTCGCGCTGGGTTCCTCAATGCTCTCCTTTACGGGAATGGGCACCCTCTCCAGCAGCTTCTGCAGTTCCAGCTTCTCCTCCTGCCACGGGAAGGAAGCAGGTCAAGGGAAAGCCAGGTGGCAGAGGAGAGAGCCCACGCAGTGATCTGGCGGTGAGTACCGGGTACCCGTCCCAACGTGCGTGGCCGCACCTCTCTCACAGTGATGTTCTTGAACTCTGAGGACAACGAGAAGACTCGGAAGAGCTCAATCTCGCTCAGAGTGGGCTTCAGCAGCTGGTTGTAGGTCTGCACTGTGTCGTTGGTGATGTAGTAGTGGCTGGCTATACGGCCCAGTTCTGTCACCTATGAAGGAGGAAGACGCAATCCAATGCTGAGCTGCAACCTCTCATTGCAAACAACAGGTACCCACTGGGTGAACACATCACAATACAAGTCCCTGGCCCAAGCACATGAAGAAAGATGGCACAAAAATCTGCCCTTTAGTGAACTGATACCCACACAGAAAAGACAGATAAATTAGCCACCTCCACTCAAATTACAGAAAAGAGGCGCTGACAGGCTTGACTGTACCATTTTAGGAGTTCCTAGGCTCAATCAGGACAGTGCATAGTGCAACCTCACCTGCTTTCTACTGTTCCAAGCAATGAGCATGAGCCAGTGCTCAAATTAAGAGTGGCCTGAACAGGTCTCCTGGGACAATGACTTTTGCTGAGCCTCCACTTCCACCCCTCAGCCCTCACCTGGAAGTTGCCTGTCTTCTTATCATACTTGACCAGGTTGTTCTTATCCAGCATCAAGGCAGCAGTATGCACCAGGTCCAGCCGGCGCTGGTCCAGCAGGGGGTCTCCCTTGAGGTCGTCATGAGAGATGCCGTAGAGGGTTGGGGACCGGAGCATTCGGATATACAGGTAGGCATAGCCCAGCCAGTTCACTGCATCCTATGAGAGACAGCCGTGGGTCTCAGCATGGAGGACTAGTGTCCAAATGAAAAGCTCCCATGGATTGTTAGGAACTAACTCCCAACTACAAGAATGTTTATCTTATTACATGTCTTCTGAGGGTTAATAATATTTCATCATGAAAAGGAGGGTCCTTTCTAGTATCTTTTTTTTTTCTCTAATATCTTAAACAAGTGAAAATGTCAGCCCGCAGCACCACAGAGACCATCCACTCCTGGTGCCCTGGCCTCTCTGGAAAAGGCAAGAGGCGCCAAGGGCAGCGCCCTCCCTACCTTTGCATTCTGGACGTTTCCCAGCACAATTTCCGCGTTGAGCATGTCAGGCAGCTTTGACACCATCTGGCTCTCAATAGGAAGCTGCTGGTTGAGGAGGGACAGGTAGTACTGAAGCTCCCCATGCGATGTGATGAGGATGCCTTCGCCCTTGGTGTCATACTGGGGTCTTCCGGCTCGTCCCAGCATCTAGGGCAGAGACAGCAAACCAAGAGGGCTGTGGCCACAGGGATGCTGGAAGGGATTCCAGGCTTCTCCTCACCTCCCATCTGCCATATTTTCAGCATACTTGCATTCTATCTACAAGGTACTCTTCCCAACCCAGAATACACACAAAGGACCTGTACCTGCAGAATGTCCAGTGCTCCCAGTTCTGTCCAGCGCCCCTTCTCTGGACTATACACCTGGGTACCTTTGATGATGACTGTATGTGCAGGGAGATTCACACCCCAAGCCAGAGTTGCTGTGGAAACTAAAACCTATAGATAAAGCAAGGTAATAAGGAAAACAGAGGTCAATATTGCCAACTTCTCTAGGCAACCAGCCCCAGAGCTTCTAGCAGGACTGAGGAGGGTCCCATCCTTGTCAGTGTGTGGCCGGAATAAAGAGGAAGGAGTCCTTGGCACCTCATCTAGTCAATACCCAACCTCTCAAGTTTCTAAAAAAACCTAAGAGGCAGAAGTATAGACCTACAGTAATCAACTTAGGGTTACTAGACAATTAAATACTCAGGCTCCAAGACAGGGAGTGAACAAGGAAGGCCCTGCCAGAAACAATGAAAAACAGGTGCAAGTGTATGGCACAAACTTTGACATTTTGGGTCTCTGAAGTCTGTGCTTCAGCCACCCTCACCTGAATGTGTTTATCAGCAAAAAGGTCCTCTACGAGTGTCCTGTCCACTCTGGTCATGCCCGCATGATGAATAGCAAAGCCATAGGGCAGCAGATCCTTCAGCTCCAGGTTCTGAGGAACAGAGGAAAACAGGCGGTGAGAAGAGCCTCGCTGGGGGCTCTCCCAAGGAGGAATAAATCTCCTCCCACGATCCCCTTGCCTAACCTATACCACACAACTACATGCAGACAAGCAACTCAACACAGCAGCACCCGGGTGCAGCCCGGAGGGACTGTCTGGACACCTCGACTGAGCCAGTTCCAGGGAGGGAGGAGGAACCGGCCTGTCTCTCCTCACCTTGCACTGCTCTGCCTCCGTCCGAAGAACTTCTGTGGAGGCGGAGCCCTCTCTCAGAAACAGACCCAGAGTGTCCTTCTCCAGGCACATGTCCCGAATGGCCCTGGCCGTCTTCCCAGTCTCCTTCCGGGAGTGGACAAACACCAGCACCTAAGCAGAAACCAGGTTTGTCATAGTTAAGACACAGCTCACACAGCACCAGCAGCAAGACGATAAGGCTGCAGCAGCATAAGCGAAGCCGCGGGCCTGAGGAGGAGCCACGGCAGGAATGTACTGGCTCAGAAGCCTCATCATGGCTGTAAGACCCTAAGAGAATGAACCACCCAGTCCAGTGAGAGTCCTGCGCTAGGAAACCTAACTAACTGCAAGCAACATCGTTAACAGCAAGTTTACACACAGTGAGAACACACACTCAGGAATCTCAAGTAAGAATTTGTGTGCAGGCACATGGTAAGATTCAAAGCCACTTGAAGCATGTGTCTGCAAAGTAACAGCTAAAATATTCATGACATGACAGGCACTACCCTTTATACAAACACGTTATAAATACAATTTCTTTAATGGTCAGGATGACACAAGCACCATTTTGTAGGAAATACAGTCCTCCAAGTATTTAGTGCCAAGAAAAGATTTGCCTCTTCACTAAATTCATCTCCTCGCCTAAATGCAATGCTTTTTCTCAGACAAAAACAAATACATAACCTGTTACTTTTCCTTAGTTTTTAGTCTTCGTTAACATGCCTAAAGTCAGTTTGCAATTAAAAAATTACATCCTACTTTCTAGTAAAATGCTCCCTCCACTACTGACTTTCATCTTCATTTTTACGGTTACACTTTTAGTATAAGCCGCCCAGACCTGTTTCGGAAGGACCCTGGGTTATGCAGAGAGACAGACTGATTATCTGCACCTGGGGACTTCTTTTCTGGGAGATTTTAGACTACTAATTCAATTTCGTTAATGGCTCATAGCACGAGTCATATTACCTGTGTCATCTAAGTTATATCATCTTGGCACCAAACTGTCTGAAAAGTCTGAGCACAGGTACTGGTAGTTGGTAGTTATGGAAAATTGAGCATTTCTTCCAGGTTGTCAAATTTATGTGCAAATGTGCTCAGAGTACTCCTTTATTTGCTTTCAATGGCAACATCTTGTGTAATATCCCATTTCATTTCTGATATTGGTGATTTGTGCTATGTCTTCTCTCTTTATCTTTGTCAACCTTGTCTAATTATCAGTAAATCCAGAATTTGGAAGAACAGAATTCAAAAAATGGTAAGAAACCACACACAGACCTGATTTTTCCCCGCATGCTCCATGATCTTCTCGTAGACGATCTCATTCATGATCTGGAAGCGCTTGATCGCCTTTTTCTCTGTGATGCCTACGTAGGTCTGTTCCAGAGGCACTGGGCGGAAGCTAGAAGTTCAACAGTTAGACAAATGAGGCTTTGGGCACGAAATATTGAGAAAATAAATGGTCCTCTTGACTGCCCAGGAGCACCAGTCCTCTTTTTCAGGTTACACCACATCAAAATCCAAAGGCCCTTCCTAAACCTAATCCAACAGAGCTCCTTGGCAAAGGGAACATACAACAGGAATGTCACCTGGCTAAACTTCCCCCATCTCTTCTCATACCTATTGTCAAAGTAGAAGAGGCCCTTGGCAGGATCAACACGCAGAAAAGTGGCCACGTCTTCGTAGTTGGGGAGGGTGGCGCTCAGCCCAATGAGTCTGACTTCCTCTTGGGTCATCTCAATGTTTCGGATGGCCCTGGCCACCAAAGCTTCCAAGACAGGACCTCTGTCATCATGGAGGAGGTGGATCTCATCCTGAGAAAGGAGAGAGAAATCGCCTCTAGGACTAGAGAAAAGGAGCCCTTTCCTGAGAGCAGTCGCATTTTGTAGGCACACACCTAGTATGCCAAATACAGACAAGAAAGGGGATCTCAAGCTGGATAAACCAGTGATGAGACAAAATCCACCATGAAACACCCCCAGAAATAACACACTCTCCCATGAGCTACTTTGCTACCGTTCAGTGAACGATGCTTTACCACAAGGAAATCTGATACTTCAGGTAAAGTGGTTCATAACTTCACTCAAAGGTGTATTTCTTTACTGCAAATGAAGCTTCTGATCAAACCACATTTATATCAAATAAGACTTCACCTCTGGTGAGATTTCACCCTCACCAAGAACAAAAGATATTGTGCATCAAATGGTGGATCACAGGGCAGGGCTTCTTAAATTTCGGGTTGGACACAAACCAGCAGGGAACCTTATTAAAATCGTACTGCATTTCAGTAACTGTGGGATAGGGCAGTGTTTTTTAAATTTTTTTTATTTACTTCAGAGAGAAAGGGAGAGGGAAAGAGAGATAGAAACATCAATGACTAGCTGCCTCCTGAACACTCCCCACTGGGGATTGAGTCAGCAACCCAGGCACATAGCCTTGACTGGAATCGAACACAGGACCCTTCAGTCCACAGGCCGGTGCTCTATCCACTGAGCCAAACCAGCTAGGGTGGGACTGTATTTCTATTAAGACTGAACAGCTGTCCTGACCGGTTTGGCTCAGTGGATAGAGCGTCGGCCTGTGGACTGAAGGGTCCCAGGTTCAATTCCAGTCAAGGGCATGTACCTTGGTTGCGGGCACATCCCCAGTAGGGGGTATGCAGGAGGCAGCTGATCAATGTTTCTCTCTCATCGATGTCTCTAACCCTCTATCCCTCTCCCTTCCTCTCTGTAAGAAATCAATAAAAATATATTTTTTTTTTTTAAAAAAAAAGATTGAACAACAAGGCTCCAAAGCAGGAGTCGGCAAACTTTTCCTTAAAGGGCCAGATAGTCAATACTTCGGCTTATGGGCCACAATCCATTACAAATATTCAATTCAATCATGGCAGCACAAAAGCAGCTGTAAACAGTAGCTAACCAATAGGTAAGGCTGTGTTCCAACAGACAAAAACCAGCAGCCAAAGCTTGCCGGCCCTCCTCCGGATCACTGAACATCACATGAGCTCTCCTTTCTGCTTTCCCAGACAACATAAACTACACTCACACTCAAGCATTGGTCCTGGGTGCTTCAGCTTCTATGGAACATAACATCCTGACTCCCCACTCATTCCCTCTGGAAATGGGCTATTTGCTTATAAAGTTCTTGGATGTTCTGGGAGGAAACAATTAGTTTTTCGTTTGCCTGTTTACATCTCTCTCAGAATATTTCAGACATAAAAAAGATATAAAGAATAATATGGCAATCTCTGTGCACCTACTGGGAAATTCTCACTGAAGTGCAGACTGTCATTTAATGGTAAAAGCAAAGCTGACAACAGGGATCATTACAGAGGCCAGTGACTGGAGACAAGTTCCTGGACCAGACTAGTCTCTGCGCCCCAACAAGTGCCCCCTGCTTACCAGAATGATGAGCCGCACAAGCTGGGTGTAGGTACGCTCCCCACCCTTGCGGGTAATGATGTCCCACTTCTCAGGGGTGCAGACAATGATCTGAGTGGCACTGATCTCCTCCTTGCACAGCTGGTGGTCGCCAGTCAGTTCTGCAACAGTAATGCCGTATGTGGCCAGGCGCTGGTGGAAGAAAAGCAGGTCAGGCAAGAATGCTTTCAGGGGGCCTTGGCACCAAACTGTCTAAGAAGTCTGAGCACAGGGCATTGGCAGGAGGTTCAACCCAACAGGGAAACAGCAGGTGAATTAGATCGACCTAAGAACAAATCCAAGTTTACACTTGGGCAAACGAAGCCAAGGCTCTCTGGGAGCTGCACACAAGGGGGAAATGGAAACGTGCAGATCACAGGACCTGGTCTAGCAGCAGCAGGTCTTTATCAACCCCAGCCACATGAGGGCCACAGAGCTACTCCAACAGCGCCCAGAACTGGAGAAAACTGCTATGCAGAGGGTGACAAAAAGACAACACACCCTTGTAAAGGCCAGAATAGGTCAAGGACATTCTTGGTTCAGAAACACTCTGTACTTGGGTCAAGTACCACCTTTGAAGTGGAAACGCCATCTGAGGCACTGCAGAGACGCCCTGATACAGAAGTAGTGATGCACCAGGCCCCCTGCCCTGGGACGCTGCAGACAGCATCTTCTGGAGGAGCCCCACTCTTACCTTCCCAAAGCTGCCCACCATCTCCTGCACCAGGGAGCGCATCGGGGCGATGTAGATGATCTTGAAGTTGTCCACGTTGATAGTGCCGTCCGGGTTAATGTGCTTCCCGATCTCGCGGAGCATGCACATCAGGGCCACGTTGGTCTTCCCGGCGCCCTGAGACAGAGGCCAGGGATGAGGAGGCCCGTTTACTAACTCCTGTGGACTTACCACCAAAACAGACTAGAGCACGTCCAAAAATTTTATTCAACCGTTTCACATCTCTCCAATCCAAGAATGAAGAAGTGGGGGTATAGGTGGAGATGAACCCTCTGGCCACCAAAAATAGACACCACATTCCACAAGAAAGCGGCAGCAGGCAGTACTTACAGTGGGGGCGCACAGTAGCAGGTTCTCGTCTGTCTCCAGGGCGGCCCGGTAGAGCTTACTCTGGATCCGGTTCAGCGTCTTGAAGCCCTCGAATCCAGCCTGGGCGTACTTGGGCAGCTTCTCCACCGGAAGCAGTTGCTGAAAGAAGGAAGATATTCTTACTGAACTGGCAGCACCTAAGCAGGCCATGTTCTCGCGGGGTCTCCAGGACTACATCTCCGGGCTAGCTCCCTATGCACTCCCCACTGAAGGCTAGACCAGAGGGGTCAGTATTGTCCCCTGGGCTCAAAATCAAAATGGAAAAGCTTCCACTTCCGGAATAAACTGTCTACGAGACAAGGCCACATGGGGTCAATGGGCTGAAATCCAAATGGGAAGGGAGGTGAGCCGAGGAGAAAACCGAGAGAAGCAAGGAACTCACTTCCTCGGAGCCGAAGGGCTTGGGCTTCAGAGCAGGCACGTGCACCTCTTCGTAGCCTTTGCGCTGGCGCCGGAAGGACCCATCCGGAAGCTGACAGCGTTTGTTGGCCATGAAGTGGCTCCCTTGGGTAAAAACCAGGTCCTCCAAGTCCAGAACCTGCCTCGGAGCCAATGCCTGACAGCAGGAAAACAGAAATACAAAGTGAGGAGGCCGAGCAAATGAGCTTCCACCCACCACAGCCTAGAAAGGGCTGAACACCGACCTCCCCGCCCTGGTCCAGATCCATGGTTTCCAGATCAGTGTCCATGCGGGACTGCCGCACACGCTCCCTCCGGGACCGCTCCTCCTGCAGTGAGGAAAGAGAAAAAGGTCGGTGATTCATGACCACTCCAGGTTCGTGTCCTTCTCAGTCCCTCCTTAGCTGAGCTTGACTCACGGGTGCTGACCAGCAAATCCCAAAACAGAAAGACAGCCCTTTATGTTCAGATACCTGCCCCGGGGGCCACCAGATGATGAAAGCAAGAAACGGCTTTAAAGCAGCAATGCATAATGCACAAACAGAAAAGGGCCTGCAGTGCTGGTCTCCCAACCACACCAATGTGAATTTGTCGGTTCTAATCTGTACCATTGACAAACCTCAAAACGTTTAGATAAATACTTTACTTCTTCATCTTCCAGTTAATACGCATTTAGCTTTATGCTGCAATCTTCTAACTGATGTCTCTTTTCCAAAGCAAACACTTTAGCTTCGGACTCAAACAGAAAAGCCAGCCCAGCCCTTACCCGGATCAGATCCTCCTTCTCGGTCTCGTGAAGTTGGTAGAGGAACTTAGATAACTCTGGATCAGCTTCCATCTTTCCCATGATCCTTTCCTTTTCAGCTTCACTCTGTGCACTGGCCAGCAAGGTGCAATATAAAACTGTCAACGGCAAAAGTAGAAGAGAAGGTGAGAGGCAGTGAATAAAATCAACCTTCAACCTTGGGGTAGAAGGGAAAATGAACGAAACACATGCTGAAGCTATGAAAACAATAGCCTCATGACACACGTGCACACAGGCTACAGAAGGGCCACTGTGACTCACTCATCATCCTGTGCTGCCGCAGCACTTTAATAAAATCGAAAGTATTGAAACCGAGCAGGAGCACCAGCTGGTTCTCACACTCCCGGTCATCACTGGCCGTCTGCAGAGAAGGAAACACCAGAATTAAAGGCGCAGACATCTGCTCCATACACTGTCCATCCCCTAAGATACACTAAATGCAAAAATATGACCTTGGCCATACCTTTAAGATTTCCAACACTTCGTCTGCCTTCTTCTGCGATACAATGGCATCATCATAGAAGCGACTGAGCTGCCGCTGCAGCCAAAATGCATCAATGTCCCGAGGGTGCAAATCCTTCTTCTTAGAACTCATCAGTTCACCAGAGGCTACAAGCTGCACAAGTAACAGGCACTGAGCACCCACGACTGTCTGCCCCAACTACTTTCTCATTATCCTGCAAAGCAGCTCTACTAGCCACCCACAGCCCACCTCTGGAAAGAGAGCTTTCCAGTAGAAAGAAATGTCTGCTATCCTGAATTTGGGAACACACCAAACTCATCAACATATCTCATCCATACATGCCCTTGTCAGGGAGGACGACTGACTAAAATCAAATAAGCAAACAAAGACACTAAATGTTTATTACGGCCCACACTATAAAAAAGGAGCTCAAGCCCTAACCGGTTTGGCTCAGTGGATAGAGCGTCGGCCTGCGGACTGAGGGGTCCCAGGTTCAATTCCGGTCAAGGGCATGTACCTTGGTTGTGAGCACATCCCCGGGGGGGGGGGGGGGGGTCGTGCAGGAGGCAGCTGATCGATCTCTCTCATCGATGTTTCTAACTCTCTATCCCTCTCCCTTCTCTGTAAAAAATCAATAAAATATATTAAAAAAAAAAAGGAGCTCAAGCCCGGCTGGTGTGGCCCAGTGGTTGAGCATCGACCAGGAACCAAGAGGTCGCCTTCGATTCCTGCTCGGGGCACATGTCCAGGTTGCAGGCTCAATCCCTAGTAGGGGGAGTGTAGGAGTCAGCTGATCGATGTTTCTCTCTCATCAATGTTTCTATCTCTCTATCCCTCTCCCTTCCTCTCTCTAAAAAAACAAATCAATTAAATAAAAAGGGAGCTCAGTAACTGATGTAACAGGACCTTAGTATGGGAAAGGACTGGCCTGCAGCAGTGGGCAAGGAGAGACTGTACTCACATTAGCTGAGAGGGTGCAGCGCACCACAGCCTCATCCCCTTCCATGTCATCATCGGACGCCTCTTCTCGAACCTCCCCGTACACATCTTCATCGCCTTCCTGTGGAAAGAGCCGAAACCCAACCCACGATTTGGAGCTGATTCTGACATCACCACAGAACCTCTCCCGAGTCACTTAAGATTGGTTAGCACAACTGGGACCAGGTCCAGCCTTATCCAGAGTACATTTAATGGAATAACCTCAGTACACAAGTACTCTAAGTCCTTGTGGCATGGCTTCATAAGGTGCGTCTACTCTCTTTTCTGCTTTGTGCACAAAGGCAACCAACTGGACCCCAATCTCTCATAAACACACAATCAGTATATGTAAAAAAGAGCTAGCAGCTAGCAGGACGAGCTCTGCAGAAGCATGCTGGGACCCAGAAGTGCAGACCACACTTGGCTTGCTCAACAATCTTTACTCACACACTAGCTCACACTACACTCTGGACTCAGCACAGTATTATGTTTAAAGCAGGCACTTAATAATAAGTATATGTTAGGTGAGTGAGTTCTACAAGCAAAGCATTCTTTCAGGTCCTTGCTACTTAAACTCTGAAATTCTATTACTTGTACTGCAGGAAGAGGCTTAGCAGTCAACTATTTCACTCCATCACATCGATAGGTAGTGAAACTGAAGCAAAATGACCTGCCCAAGATACAGGACCAAAATTCAGACCTCCTGACTCCCAGCTTGGTGCTCTGACTCTTCTGTGCTGCCCCTTCTTCCCATCCTAGGATATAATATTCCAAGGCCAGCATTTTCCCTTCATGAGCCAAATTCAACCACTGAGAATTTTAGGGCAACTTTGCAAAGATTTTGAAGAGCCCCCTTGTTTCTGTTTAATTACAGTCAAGCAATTATGATTAGGTCATAAACCTCAGTGGCTGCTGCAACCGTTACTTAAAACAACCATACAAAACATGCCCATGCTCTTGGGCAAATGTACATCTTTTGAAACTGGCAGTAGGACACAGCACTGACCAGTGGGACATTATCACAATAAGATTAAAATGTGGCAGCATACTCCTTCAGTATATCTTTCTTTTTGCTGATGCACTTAGTTTATTTTACATTACTGCATTGATTTATAAGTTTAATTTGCTTTATAAAACCTGAAGAGGATAATTTCAAAAAAGAAGAAGAAACTAGGTCCATTTGTTTTATGCTCACCTCCTCATCAGACTCAAACTGTACATTCACACCATAGGTCTCATCAATGTTGTCATCTGAAACAAGGAGGGATTAGAGAAACAGGTAATGAAATGAGGCACTACAGAGCACATTTTCTCCCCAAATACCTGACTTGCCTCTCCTCAGGACAGATCTCAGGTCTAAGGACTCACAGACACTTAAGGATCACCATAAGAGAGCCATCTGTACTGCCACCAATGAGGCCTCCTCTGACCAGCCAACCTTGGATGTGACCCTGCTCTGCTTGCTCAACCACTTGAGTTCCCCAGGCTCTGCCCAATTTCCCCCCATCCTATATAATAAAACCCTAATATGCAAATCAACCAAACGGCAGAACGACCAGTCACTATGATGTGCACTGACCACCAATGAGCAGACACTCAACGCAGGAGCTGCCCCCTGGTGGTCAGTGCGCTCCCACAGGGGAAGTGCCGCTCAGCCAGAAGCCAAGCTCCTGGCGAGCCCAGCTGCAGTACTGGGAGCCTCTCCCTCCTCCACGGCAGGTGGACATCCCCCAAGGGGTCCCTGAATGTGAGAGTTCACCCCCCCCCTCCCCGCCATCTCCCAGTGCACAAATGTCGTGCACCAGGCCTCTAGTGTTCTATACAATAAAAGGGTCCAGAGTAAGAAATGGGTTCTGTTGTAGGGATTCTGGTATCCATCAATCATAAATCCTCAAAAACACCAAACAGATTATGGGAACTGACACATCCAGGTGTTTTAATGACTGGAGCTAGGTCACATTTAGGGGTCAACAAGCAATCAGTTAACATGAGCAGGACATAAAAAGCTCGGTTACCCATATTCTGGATTTCCTTGTCTCCGCCATAGTCTGTGATCTTCTTGCCCAAGTTCACCAGCACATGGTATCTGGTATCATCTGTCTGCCCCAGCAACAGGTCAATCTCCTTTCTCCTTTCCTTGTCACGAAGCTTTTCATTTTTTAGGACAGCTAGAACTTCATCAGCTGCCCCACAAAGAATATCACGTGGCTGGTTGTAAAAAAAACAAAAAAAACATTTAGAACAATGAGATGCTGCACACCACAGTCCAGCTTTATGTGGTAGCCAGATGTGAAGAGTTACACCCCTTTAAAACCTGTACAGGAGATTCTGATCAGTTTCATTACCATTAATAAAAAATGCCACCGGTGCCCGCCAGTGTGGCTCAGTGGTTGAGTGTCAAACCATAAACAAAGAGGTCATGGTTCAATTCCCAGTCAGGGCACAGGCTCGGGTTGTGGGCTTGATCCCCAGAAGAGGGCGTGCAAGAGGCAGCCGATCTATTATTATCTCTCATCATTGATACTTAAAACTTTCTCCACCTTTCCCTTCCTCTCTGAAATCAATAAAAATATATTTAAATAAAAAATGCTAGTCACACAATTGAAGGAAACATAACCTTTTAAAAAGATTAGGTAGGTGATCTTAGGACACGACTTCCACTAGTCTGCCACATTTCTCCAGGCGGGCAGAGGCATTCTAGTCTTCCTCTAGCCCGCCAAACTTTGGGTAATTCTGTCACCTCCTCTAGCACCCGCCTCACCAGAGCCTCTCTGAGACTCATGAAGGTCCTGAATCTCACCACACATACAGTGGGGTTAAAAGCAGATTCTGGACACTGACTACCGGGCTCTCCTTTTGGCTCTGCAAATACAACCTTTGTGACCTGGGAAAATTATGTAACTATTCTTTGCCTCACAGCTCTCCTCTATAAAGCTGAAAATGAGTGTCAGCAGCACCTAATCATAGAGTTAACATGAGGACTGTAAGACAGAAGACATGCAAAGTGCTATCCCATATAAAGTCTCAACAAACTGGCACGGCCCACAGAAGGACACCCACAGACAAGGTTCTGCAGACAAGGCTCTTCTGGCTCCTTCCAGCTGTGACTCCCTCCCTCTCCAAAACCATGACTTCACCCTCTGGCTGCCTCACCTGGTCCCCAAGGGCAGCCTGGATGAAGCTGAGCAGCACTTCGTAAGTCTCCCGGGTTTCTTTGGTTTTGGGCTTATAGATGATGCCCACCATCTCATCGATGCCCTCCGAGAGCAGAGTGTACCCCTTCATCTTGTTGATGTCGTGCCGGTCCTCGTCACGCTTTCTTCGCCTAACGGACACACAGTGTGATGGTGAACAGGCAGAACCTTCCCTCCCAAAGGCAAGACTAAATCAGGCCACACTCCTCTCCCTCAGCTCCATGGAACACAGGTAATATCTTAGAACATAAATCTGTACCTCAGTAAGTCATCCCCACTTGGCCTTAGTCACTTACAGGAGTTACTTCTTTATAGGAACACAGTAACTAACACAAAGAGAGTCCACTATCATTCTCTCTCTTGAAGCATTGACTGTTACAATGAGACATCCTCTCATTCATTTAAAAAACACAACTCCAAAGGACCTAAGTAGACACCTTTCAAAAGAGGACATTCCGAAAGCCAAGAGACATATGAAAACATGCTCAAAGTCACTAATCATCCGAGAGATGCAAATCAAAACAACAATGAGGTACCATCTCACACCTGTCAGACTGGCTATCATCAACAAATCAACAAACGACAAGTGCTGGAGAGGATGTGGAGAAAAAGGAACACTTGTGCACTGCTGGTGGGAATGCAGACTGGTGCAGCCACTATGGAAGACAGTATGGAGTTTCCTTAAAAAACTGAAAATGGAACTCCCATTTGACCCTGTGATCCCACTTCTAGGAATATATCCCAAGAAACCAGAAACACCAATCAGAAAGGATATATGCACCCCTATGTTCATAGCAGCACAATTCACCATAGCTAAGATCTGGAAACAGCCTAAGTGCCCATCAGTAGATGAATGGATTAGAAAAGTGTGGTACATCTACACGATGGAATACTGTGCTGCTCTCAAAAGGAAGGAACTCTTACCATTTGCAGCGTCATGGATGGAACTGGAGAGCATTATGCTAAGTGAAATACGCCAGTCAATGAAGGAAAAATACCACATGATCTCACTCATTCATGGATAATAGAGACCATTATAAACTTTTGAACATTAATAGATACAGAGGCAGAGCTGCCTCAAACAGATTGTCAAACTGCAGCGGGAAGGCCGGGGAGGGTTGGGGGGCAGGAGATAGGGGGGTAAGAGATCAACTAAAGGACTTGTATGCATGCATATAAGCATAACCAATGGACATAAGACATTGGGGGATAGGGGAGGCTAGGGGACTGTCTAGGGCGGGGGGATAAAATGGACACATATGTAATACCCTTTGTAATACTTTAAGCAATAAATAAAAAAAATAAAAAATAAAATAAAAATAAAAATAAAAAACACAACTCTTTCATTTTGTATGACATTATACAATTAGCAGAGCAACGGTAGCTCCAAAGGAATCTACTGCCACTGAGTCCCAACAAATTAGAATGGGTAAAGAAGTCATATTTTGCAAAGTGGAAGACCAGTAACGCATTAACTTATTTCAAACGTAACTACTTTAATCAAAACCGAGCCTACAAATTTTTGAGACTTCATGGGAGGAGAAAAAACAGATGATCAGGGGTGAGATGGAGTTGAATGAGTTTTTAAGTTTAAAACATTTCCTCCAAAAAGTAAAAAATAACAAAAAACCTGTCATTTATACCATGGATGCTTGAATATTAGTTTATAAACTTTATAACAAAAGTAGGAAATGGGCAACAGCAGAAGGAAGTAGGGGTGGGAAGTTAGTAATGGAAGAAAAAATGTTACTGAGACAAGGGAACAGCAAGGGTCTTGAAAATATCAGAAAGAAAATTAAAATCTCTCTATGGACCAAAAAAGCATACGTTAGAAAAAGGTCAAGTTGAACTCCACCCCACCCATACGGAGGTCAGTGTTCTGTCAGCACCAGCAAAGGCCATGGCCTCAGCCCTTGGATTGTAAATTGGTGACTAAAGCTCCAAGCAGCCCTGTTCCTGACGGTGGCAGTGATGGTGGGCCTAGTACCAGCCGATCCCCCTCCCACAATGGCACAGGCGCAGGAGCCAGACAGCCCACCACCCACCAAGACCTCTACTGGCTGTGCTCCTTCTTGGCCTGAGGTACCTTGGGATGCTGTGCTAAAGGTTACTCCTTTGGGTGGAATAAAGGTTTTATTACCAGCTCACATTCACCATCACAAACACTTAGGAATATTTTCTATACTGCGTGCCGTTTCCAAAAGAAGGGATACCTTGGATTGTATAAATTTTAAGAAGCCCTGTCCAGCATTGATCAATGGTTAGAGCATGGGCCTGCACATTGGAGGGTTGCGGGTTTGATTCCGTCAAGGGCACATACCTGAGTTGCAGGTTTGATTCTTGCGCCTCCCCCTCTCTCCCCCGCAACCCCAGTCAGGGTGCATGTGGGAGGCAACCAATCCATGTGTCTCTCTCACATTGTTTTCTCTCTCTCTCTCTCTCTCTCTCTCTCTCTCTCTCTCTCTCTCTCTTCCTCCCCACTCCTTTCCACTCTCTCTAAAAATCAATGAAAAAATAGCCTTACTCCTTTGGTGAGGATAAATAAGTAAAGAATTTTAGGAAATGGTACGATGATAATTCGAATCTTTCCCTATGGTGCAATCCAGTTTATGGCATTTGAGCATTATAAACATTAATTACTACAAATCTGGGAATTTCTGGTTATGTGTACAGATCAATGGCTGGATCCATGGCAGGTATGACAGCATACCTTCTTGACATGGTTAGAGTACACCCAGAATTCCAGGTGGAAGAGGAATACACACAGCATATGCATGCACTCAAAACAATGTATGCAAGGGATTGGATTTTAGAGGCCTGAGGCCTACTATATTAGGATTGGCTCCATATGCAGTTGTTTCACTTTTTACTTTTGATACCTTAAAGAGTGTTGGGCTTTCCCATGCATGTACCCTTCTTGGCAGACCTTCATCAGACAATCCTAATGTCTGTTTTGAAAACTCACATAAACTTTCCTTGTGGTGGCGCTGCTGGAGCAATAGCACAGACAATATCCTACTCATTTGATGTCGCTCATAGGCGAGTGCCATTAGGAACTATTCTTCCAGAATTTGAAAAGTACCTTACCATGCCGGAGACTATGAAATACGCCTATGGACACCATAGAACTGGAAAAGGATTATATCATGGTTTATCTCTGAACTATATTCGCTGCATTCCCTCTCAAGCAGGGGCTTTTACAACAACATATGAACTTATGAAGCAACTTTTTCACTTCAGCTGAAAAAAATTTTCTTTCCTTAATAAACTCTTAGAGGAAATAAAATGTTACTTTAATTCTGGGGCAAACAACTTGAAAGGGGATATTTATCCTGTCACAGGAATCACTGATATTTCAGCACTTGAATTTTTATTAATCACAAATCAAAGTGGTTACTATACCTTCTGATGCCAAAAGTTACACCACAGAACATTGGAAAAAAATCCTAAACTGATGCTACCTAATCAATTAGGTCAGTGGTCGGCAAACTCATTAGTCAACAGAGCCAAATATCAACAGTACAACGACTGAAATTTCTTTTGAGAGCCAAATTTTTTAAACTTAAACTATATAGGTAGGTACATTGTTAATAACTTAATTAGGGTACTCCTAAGGCTTAGGAAGAGCCACACTCAAGGGGCCAAAGAGCCACATGCGGCTCGCGAGCCGCAGTTTGCCGACCACAGAATTAGGTTATTTGAAACCATTCAAAAGTGTTATTTGGACATAGAAGTAACTTAAAATGGGATTCAAGAAGTTGCCATTAGCTTTATCATGCTGTCCCAAGCTTTTCATTGTAATCATGACTTTCAAAGACTCTAATATTGATCATTATTATTGTAACAAACTTTGCAGCAGCATGACGAGAACTGAACTTTTAAGTTATATAAGCCATAGCTTAGAAGCCAGCATTGAAATAGTATTCTTACTATTTCTCTTCTTAAAATTCTGCTCCACTGCCCACTGGTGTGGCTCAGTGGTCGAGCATCAAACTATGAACCAGGAGGTCACAGTTCGATTCCTGGTCAGGGCACATGCCCGGGTTAGGGGCTTCATCCCCAATAGGGGATGTGCAGGAGGCAGCTGATGGATGATTCTCTCTCGTCACTGATGTTTCTATCTCTCTCTTTCTTCCTCTCTCTGAAATCAATTTTAAAAGGAATTCTGCTCCACTGAATAAAAGGACAAACACTTTTTCTCTTTTCAAAAAAATAAATGCTGTATTTAAAAAGTAGTCAAATAGAGGCTCATCAATAAATGAAGAATTTTCAGGTATTGGTCAAGTGTTATTCCCATATACACACACAAAAAAGTTATTCCTAGTAAATAGTAAATACTGACTATCTGCTCTCAAAATAGATTAGCATTGTAGATTTGTTTTGTTAGATAATTTGGTGCATACTAGAAAATGTATTTAATTAGACTGTGAAACATCCATTAATAAAGATGGAAAGGTCAAAGACTGTTTCTAAAGTACTGTCACGATACATCAACTAGCACTTCCATGTAAAATAATTTTTGTGCAATATAAACTTAAGTAGAAATGTAAAAATGGTTTGGGTCGGCCAGGCCAGAGTGGCTCAGTTGGATGATCGTCATCCTATGCACTGAGAAGTTGCCAGTTCGATTCCTGGTCAGGGCACATACCTAGGTTGCAGATTCATCCGCAGATAGGGCATGTACAGAAGGCAACAGATCGGTGTTTCTCTCTCACATGGAGTCTGTCTGTCTGTCTACCTAAGCATGTACTCAAGTGAACAGTAAAAGTAAATAATGATTTGAATTGTTATCCTTAATATTAAAGTGGTTTAAAATGTAAGAACTTCATGTATTGTTTTTAGAGTACTTTTATGTTTTAGTACAAGCATGACAGAAATGGGAGAGGAACAGTTACGGTTTTATCCTCAGACATAGTGATGTGTATGAGCATAACCAATGGACACAGACAGTAGGGGGGGTGAGGGCATGTGCTGGGGGGTGGGAGCAGCCAGGGAGAGGTAAATGGGGGAAAAGGGAGACTCATGTAATACTTTAAACAATAAACAATTTAAATTTTAAAAATAAATAAAATGTGTAAAATGAAAAAAAAATAGTAATTTGTAGAACTAATGTAATTTTTAAGACATCAGAAAACTAAGTTCAAAGTGTTATTTCTGCTTGGATTTTTATTTTTGCATAAGAGATTTCTTGTCACACCTTGGTAAAAATTAGATGAACTGGTTTCATTTTCAAAGTATTTATTTTAAAATAAATATGCATCTTTGTATGATTTGTAAGTGTACATGCAGGCAGAAATACATATGTTTCTAAAACTTTTTGTATAGTTTCATTTCTGGATTGCTCTATAGCAAATATTGTTATCAGATGTCTAAAATAAGTATCTGTTATGTTATCAATAAAAAGGACAGCAAGCCCGGCCAGTGAGGCTCAGTGGTTGATCAATGAACCATGAACCAGGAGGGCACTGGTTTGATTCCTGGTCAGGGCACATGCCTGGGTTTCCAGCTCCATCCTTGATGGGGGACGTGTTGGAGGCAGCCAACGATGTTTCTCTCTCATCAATGCTTCTATCTCTCCATCCCTTCTCTAAAATAAAAACCTGTTTTTTTTAAAAGGATGGCAAACTGGTACTGGCAGAATTACAGGCATATAGATCAATGGAATAGGACAGAGACCCCAGAAATCGACCCAAGCCATTATGCTCAATTAATATTTGACAAAGGAGGCAAAAACATACAATGGAGTCGACAGTCTCTTCAATTAGTATTGGGAAAATTGGACAGATACATGCAAAAAAATGAAACTAGACCATCAATTTGCACCATACAAAAGAATAAACTCATAAACTCAACATAGATAAAAGGCTTAAATATAAGTCGGGAAACCATAAAAATTCTAGAAGAAACCACAGGCAGCAAAATCTCAGACATCTCTCGTAGCAATATGTTTACAGATACACCTCCTAGGGCAGTGGTCGGCAAACCGCGGCTCGCAAGCCACATGCAGCTCTTTGGCCCATTGAGTGTGGCTCTTCCACAAAATACCATGTGCGGGCGCACACATACAATGCGAAGTTGACTTAAAACTTTAAGTAAAGTTTATTAAGTTAATTTTAGGGAACATTGTGGAGTGAAAGAAGATGTACTGTCGAGGATTGAGAAAGGTATGTTGAGATGGTTTGGACATATAGAGAGGATGAACGAAAGGAGATAGACGAAACAAGTATACAAGACGAGTGTGGATGGGAGAGTTGGAAGGGGTCGACCTTAGCGAACGTACCTCAATCAGATTGAGGACGTTTTTAGCAAAGGCCAACTTAGGAGTACCCTAATTAAGTTAATAACAATGTACCTACCTATATAGTTTCAGTTTAAAAAATTTGGCTCTCCAAAGAAATTTCAATCGTTGTACTGTTGATATTTGGCTCTGTTGACTAATGAGTTTGCCGACCACTGTCCTAGGGCAAAGGAATCTTAGAAAATAAATGATACTATATCAAAGCAAAAAGCTTCTGCACAGCAAAAGAAACAATCAAATAAATTGAAAAGGGAACCCAATGTATGGGAGAACATATTTAGCAATGATACATCTGATAAAGGGTTCATACCCAAAATATATAAGGAACTCATACAACTTAACAAAAGGAAGATAAACGATCCAATTTAAAAAATGGGCAAAGGACCTACTAAATAGACACTTCTTCAAAGTGGACACACAAACGGCCAAGACACACATGAAAAAATGGTCAAAGTCATTGATCATCAGAGAGATGCAAATTAAAATAACAATGAGGTATCAACTCACACCTGTCAGAATGGCTACCATCAACAAATCAACAAATGACAGGTGCTGGTGAGCATGTGGAGAAAAGGGAGCCCTAATTCACCGCTGGTGGGAATGCAGGCTGGTGCAGCCATTCTGGAAAACAGTATGGAGTTTCCTCAAAAACTTAAATATGGCCCTGACCGGTTTGGCTCAGTGGATAGAGTCTCAGCCTACAGACTGAGGGGTCCCAGGTTCAATTCCGGTCAAGGGCATGTACCTTGGTTGCGGGCACATCCCCAGTGGGAGGTGTGCAGGAGGCAGCTGATCGATGTTTCTCTCTCATCGATGTTTCAAACTCTCTATCCCTCTCCCTTCCTCTCTGTAAAAAATCAATAAAATATATTTTTTAAAAAATTAAATATGGAACTGCCATTTGACCCAGTGATCCCACTTCTAGGAATATATCCTAAGAAAACTGAAACACCAATCAGAAAGAATGCATGCATTCCTATGTTCACAGCAGCACAATCTACAATAGCTAAGATCTGGAAACAGCCCAAGTGCCCACCAGTAGATGAGTGGATAAAAAAGCTGTGGTACATGGAATACTATGGAATACTATGCAGCAAAAAAAAAGAAAAATCTCTTACCCTTTGAGACAGCGTGGAGGGACCACGAGAGTATCATGCTAAGTGAAATCAGTCAGAGAAAGGCAAGTACTACATGATCGCACACACATATGTGGAATCTAATTAACAGAATAAACTGATGAATGGAGTGGATCCAGAGACATGGAAGAATGAAACAGAATGCAGAATCTCAGAGGGAAGGCAGGGGCAGGTGGGTGGATGGGGGGTAATCAACCAAAGACCTTGTATGCACAGATACATACCCCATGGACACAGACAATAGGGTGGTGAAGGCCTGGGCAGGCTGGAGGGGGTCAATGAGGGAAAATAAGGGACATGTGTAATACTTTCAATAATGAAGATAATAAACAAACAAATAAATAAATAAAATTAGCAATGAACTGGGGTTGGGTATGTGGAGTTTAAAATTTCAAATGTGATGACTTCTCTATTTACTCCTGGGGGCATTTTATGGCACAATGATTTTAATTGATCTTTTCACTAAAAAAATGACCTTTATATCCTCTTATTGTGCTGAAACCTTTTATATAACTCAGAATGACTTAAAATATTGAAATATTTATACATAGTAAAGCAGGCTCTAGGAGGCCAGGATCCCCTGGTTCATTTACAGTACAGTACTGTCTCTCTGGAAAACAAGAGGCAAGGTTTGTGTGTCTGGGGGTAAGGACAGGAAATGGGCATTTAAGGAAAACAAAGTTCTGTGTTAGGAAATGAGTAGAGGTGAGGGGGGCAGAGATGGTCCTTTGGAAGGAGGCTGGAATGTTTCAATAGCTTTATGTATGTACATTTACCTACATGTCTATATCTACATCTGAGTCCGTATCCATATATTTATATGTAACCTTCCATGATTTAGAAGAGGGGTGGGGAATCTTTCTTCTGCCAAGGGCCATTTGGATACTTATAACATCATTCTCAGGACAAACAAAATTATCAACTTAAACATTAGCTTGCTATGTTTGGTAAAAACATTTAATTAACTCACCCTTACTGCCCTGGCAGGGCCAGACCAAATGATTTTGCGGGCCTTATATAGCCCCAGGGCCAGATGTTCCCCACCTCTGATTTAGAGAATCATGGGAAGAAGAAACATATCAAAGGTAAAAGTGTCCTATGAATTTCTTCGGCACTAAACAAATTAATTCTTTTCCTTTCTTAATGCATTTTGGATTCAGTACTGATTGTATGTGTACAGACTTCAACACTACAATCAAGGGTGCATTTGAAAAGTAATTTGTCCATATGTTCAAGAACTCTTGTTTGTAGGCTGCTGAAGACAACAGGGTTTTATTTTATTTTTTTATATGTCCAAAGACCATAGAGTTTACTTGATGCATTAACTAATTTTACAGATTTTTCTCATATATATACCTGATTAAAAAACTGTATAGAGTGAGATGAACTGTACTGTACCAAATATAAACTAACTTTTTGGGTAGTTTTGGTAGCAAACCAAAGCTCAAGGATCACTCAGGGTTTTAGCTGGCTGGTGTTTGCATAGGGTCATTTACATCTGATAAGGTGCAAACACCTTTTTCCACTTAAATCACTTTTTAAAAATTACTTAAAAGGGCATAAGAACGTGAATTCTGCCATCTTCCTTAAACTTCCTAAAAAAAGAAGAAGAAAAAAAGGACAGCAAATACTTTTTTAAATGTAATGGGATAAAAGTCTAAAAGTTGTTTTCCACTTCAGGGACACTTGTTATGGCCAAAGAACCTTCTAAATTCATGTTGTTTTTACCTTCACTATGTTGTTTTAATGCCACCGATGTCTCATCCTGTACCCAGCATTTCAGCAAAAATGCTGCTCAATTGCTCAAAGGAAGATGGTCTTTGCATCTGAAGAAAAATCATTCTCCCCTGGGTACTCACTTGGCTCTTCTTTCCTCCTGCATTTGTGGTTTGGTCCGTTGAGCCTTATCTCCCATCCGGGTGCCCTCCAGCTTCCCAACCAGGGATAGCACCTCTCCTGTGGGTTCATCCCGACGGGTCCGGTCAATGAGAGAACGGTCAGCTTGGAGGACAAGATTCGAGTTCTGAAACAGATCACAATATTATCAAAGCTCTGATGTGAGCAGGGCCAATTCCTACATCACAAGGATAATAACAAAGAAAGTAAAAATCAGAGCGACTAAGCACTGATGATCACTAGTCGGAATAAAAAGATGTTTTCCTAGAGGAGAGCATCGTATAATAGCACGTGAGCAAAGGGCGAGCAAATCAGTAGACCGATGCGGCTCCTACCGCGGCCCCCACCCCACCCATGGGAAAGTGCTGGGCATGCTGGGGTGACATCTGGGAGGGGGCGGGTACCGCGCTCAGAGATCGGATCCGCCCCCAACCCCCCAAACCCCCCCTGCACCCCTCCCCCCCGCCTGCGGTCCTCCCAGGCCAGTGGTTCTCAACCTTCCTAATGCCACGACCCTTTAATACAGTTCCTCATGTTGTGGTGACCCCAACCATAAAATTATTTTCGTTGCTACTTCATAACTGTAATTTTGCTACTGTTATGAATCGTAAATAACTGGTATGCAGGATGTTTTGTCATTGTTACAAATTGAACATAAAGCATAGTGATTAATCACAAAAACAATATGTAATTATATATGTGTTTCCGATGGTCTTAGGCGACCCCTGTGAAAGGATCGTTCGACCCCCAAAAGGGGTCGCGACCCCCAGGTTGAGAACCGCTGTTAGGCCTTCAGGCCGAAACCGCCTTCCCCGGCCCCCGCCCCCCCACTGGGCTCGGAGCCCGAGTCCTCCCCAGCCCCCACGCACCGCTTTGTACTCGTACTGCAGGCTCCGGGCGGTCACATCCGCCATGGCGGCGGCTGCTCTGGGGCTCGGCGACCCGCTCCCCTAAACCGCACGCTCCGGCGGCCCGGCGTTCAGGGCTCTCCTCCCGCCAGACCAACGCAGGGAAGACGCTCCGGAGGCAAAGAGACCTGAGTTCCCTTCCGCTTCCGGGTCGCGCGCCGGAAGGGCGGAAGGGCGTGTCTTTGGCGGGTGCCGGGCGTTGGGGGGGCGTATTCCCGGTTCCGGTAGCCGGACGCGGACTCTGAGTCCGACCATCTCCTGCCACTTCGGACTCAGGACCAATTCTCTCCCCACCTCGAGCTCCGGCCTTCGACCCCCAAGGCTCTTCACTTCAGGACAGACGCAGGCCTGCTTACCCGTCTGGCCCAAGCACTTGCTTTCCGGCCGCTGACTGGGATTATGCCGGCAGGGAAGGGTCCTTAGCCCCACTTCCGGCTGCAAGCCAAGAAGCCATCGAATGAATGAAGTGTGAGTGTGTGTAACTGCTGTCTTCCTTTGGGTTTCTCTTCTAAATTTAAGAACTGGGGGGAAACTCTGCCCCACCCCCCACCCCCACCTACCCTACCTAAAGCCCTCTGCCAGCTGGGCCCTCCGTTTGCTCCCAAACGCTTGTCACATTCCACCGCAGGGCTCTGCACGGCTCTGCACGACCCTCGGGGCATCAACTCCATAAAGACAATTAACTTAATTTCTTACCCAGTGGTTCTCAACCTTGGCTGCACATTAGAATCACCTGGGAATCTTTTTAAAATCCTGATTCCTAGGCCCCATCCTCCGGAAATTCTCTTTCTTTGTTACTCATGTTGTGGCCCCACCCCATAACAAAGAAACAGAATTTCCGGAGGGTGAGGCCCACGAATCAGGATTTTAAAAAGATTCCCAGGTGATTCTAATGTGCAGCCAAGGTTGAGAACCACTGGCCTAGGACAACGCCCCTGCCCTCCCACCCCCAACCAACAGTTCTCACCTGTGGGATGGCAACTAACAGCTGAATGGGTACCGCACTTAGAGCCTGTTTGCTTTTGAAAAATAAATGAATTCATCCTCAATAGCAGTCTCCTGAGCCCAAATTGACCTGTGGGGGTATTTTGTTTGGCTCACTATTGGCTCCTTATTTTAAAATTCCAGTAACTCACTACCACCATGACAACCAAGAAGGGGGGGGGGGGGGGGATGGGATACTTCACACAAAATCTGGATTTCCTGCATCTAGGGAGAAATCAACACTGGCCACATGAGACCCACCTTCCTACCTGGCATACCTTCCAGGGCTGATGAGCATTTGCCACTGCTCCTGTTTTCTCAGACCTGGCCCCTCACTCCTTGGTGTTACCTGCCTGGGCCCTGTAGCATCCAGTTTGCAGTCCTGACCAGATTTTTTCCATCTCTAACTGGGCCTTCCAAAGGACAGTCATCCTTGTGGCAGCTCTGCCCCCAGTGGCTGTGTGACCTTGAGGTAGCTACCTGGTCTCTGGATGAGCTTCATTTTGTTATCCTTAAAATTGAGGCAATAGCCCTCACCGGTTTGGCTCAGTGGACAGGGCATCGGCCTGCGGACTGAAGGGTCCCAGGTTCGATTGTGGTCAAGGACATGTACCTTGGTTGCAGGCACATCCCCAGTGGGAGGTGTGCAGGAGGTGGCTGATCATGTTTCTCTCTCATCAATGTTTCTACTCTCTATCTCTCTCCCTTCCTCTCTGTAAAAAATCAATAAAATATATTTTTAAAAAAATAAAAAATAAATAAAATTTCGAGGCAATAAAACTCTCCTCACAGGACTGTTGTGATTACATGAGGCGGTACTGTGCTTTAAAGCACTAATGAAGTGCCTGACTCACGGTGCGAGTTCACTGAAGGCTATTGAAATCTGAGTCCTCAAGACTGACTTTTACTCCATGGTCATGCTGTGGCTCACCCACCTGACACAAACGGGTCTGAAAACTATTTCTGGGATTCTGCTCTGCATTTCTGTAGGAGTGGTGCTCATGTTCACAATCGAGCCTGGGCCACAGGGAAAGCTGAAGCAAGGGAAAAAGGAAAATTCCCCGTCTTTCCTTTTCCTCTCTAAGCAGTTTCTACCACGTTTAATCCTCCATTTAGTAATTTAGATAGATTTGGCCATTTCCATAGGACATGAGTACTGGAAAGAGCTTTAGAGATAGAGTAGTTCAGGTTCTCACTTGAGGAGGCTGCAGACAAGAGAGAATTATCCCACAGAAATATATGTACAGGAAGAAAAAAATGATAGCTATGCTTCCTCACTCTAGGGAAAGGGCAGTGTTTATGTCAAAGATGGCAGCTCTGTTGGGGGAACCAGTTCAAGGAAATTTCATGGGCTTTTTTAAAATATATTTTTTATTGATTTCAGAGAAGGAGGGAGAGATAGAAACATCAATGTTGAGAGAGAATCATTGATTGGCTGCTTTCTGCATGCCCCTACTAGGGATCGAGCCCACAACCCAGGGATGTGCCCTTGACTGGGATCGAACCCGGACCCTTTAGTCTGTAGGCCGACGCTCTATCCACTGAGCCAAACCAGCTAGGGTTTCATGGGCCTTCTTAATGGAAAGGGTGAGACTGGGAATCTTGGTGAAGGCAAGTCAAGGAAAGAACTCAATAAGAAAAGGAAGACGAGTGCGGTTGGAGGTTGGCATGTAGAGAAGAGAGGAAAAGGTATCCAGGAGGCAAGAGTGCCCAGAAGATGACCCTCAGCCGGGACCTAAAGAAGGCACAAACAAAAAGCTCCCGTCGTAGAGACTGGCTAATGCACTTTTAGGCAATGATCAAATTGTTTTTTAGTTGCTTTTCTTATGAACTTCGCAGTATTCTCCATTCATTTACTCGAATCCTGAGTGAGTGTTTGACACACGTTGTGTTCCTGGTACTCTAGGGAATGAAGGAATGAAGGTGGTGTTTAGGGAAAGGTAAAATGAAGAGAGAAAGTCTAGGTCATAGAAGACAAGACCCAGAGCTGAGAATTCAGTGAAAGCAAGAATTTGATACAAGAGGTAATGGAGGGACACACAGGGGTGGGCAAAAGTAGGCTAAATTACCAGTCATCATTACCTAAAAGATAAATCACAAGTTAGGACACAAAACAATAACAACAATAAGAAGACAAATAATACAATAATTAATAAATACATAATAATACAAGAATAAGCTCTGTTTCACATACCCACCCTGTATGTCCCGGAGAATTCCCAGACTTCTGACAGTGGAGAGATGTTGTCCTCATAACATGGAGAATGAAGTTTGAGCCAATTTATTGTAAGATTAAGAGATAAACAGCCCTCACCAGTGTGGCTCAGTGGATAGAGAGTTGGCCTGTGAGCAGAAGGGTCCCAGGTTCAATTCTGGTCAAGGGCACATACCTCGGTTGCAGGCTCGATCCCTGGCACGTGCAGGAGGTAACCAACTGATGTGTCTCTCTGTCCCTCTCCCTTCCACTCTCTCTGAAAATCAATGGAAAAATATACTAGGTGAGGATTAACAACAAAAGAGATAAGTCAATGGAATAGAATTGAGAGTCCAGAAATAAACCCATACATTTATGAGGAAATGATTTTTTAAATTGACTTGTAGAGAGAAAGTAAGAGAGAGAGAAACATCAATGTGAGAGGGAAACATCAACTGGTTACCAGGGACTCGAACCCACAACCTACGTATGTACCCTGACTGGGAATTGAACCCAAAACCTTTTGGTGTACCGGACAATGCTCCAACCAACTGAACCACCCAGCCAGGGGTGGGCAAATGATTTTTGACAAGGATACCAAGACAATGCAATGGGTAAAGAAAAGGGTTTTGTTTTGTTTTTGTCTTTTTGTTAATTCTTACTTGAGGATATTTTTTCCATTGCTTTTCAGAGAGAGTGCAAAAGAGGGAGGGAGGGGGAGAGAGAGAGAAACATTGTTGTGAGAGAGACACATCGATTGGTTGCCTCCCTCATCCATCTTTCAGGATGGGAAATGAACCCGAAACTCAGGTACATGCCCCGACTGAAAACAGAACCCTCAACCCTTTGGTGCAAGGGCCAGTGCTCTAACCACTGAGCAACACTGGCCAGGGCAAGAAGAGGTTTTTGTTTTGTATTTACCAAAAGGTTTTGGGACAACTGGATATTCACATGCAAAAGGATAAATCTACACCCCTACCACATACCATTCACAAAAATTAACTCAAAATGGATAATAAGCTTAATGTAAGAGATAAAATTGTAGAATTCTTATGAGAAGATGTAGGGGTTTAATCTTCACGACCTTGGGTTAGGCAATGGTTTCTTAGATATGAAACCAAAAGCACAAACAAAAGAAAAAATAGATAAATTAGGCTTCATCAAAATTTAAAATAGTTGTGTTTTAAAAAGCACCATCAGGAAAGTGAAAAGATTGATAAGAGACTAGTATCCAGAATATATAAAGAACTCTTACAGCTTAATAATAAGACATATAACCCAATTCTAAAATGGGCAAAGGATTTTAATAGTCCGCCAAAGGAAATACACAAATGGTCAATAAGCACATGAAAAGATGCTCAACATCATTAGTCATTGGGGAAATGCAAATCAAAACCACAATGAAACTCTACTTCACACCCACTAAGATTGCTACAATAAATATGGACAATAACAGTGTTGGCAGGGATATGGAGAAACTGGAACTCTCATACATTGCTCATGGGAATATAAATGGTACAGCCACCTTGGAAAATAATTTGGTAGCTCCTTCAAAAAGTTAAATATAGAGTTATCTGACCCAACAATTCCACTCCTAAGTGTTAGGTCTGATCCAATAATTGAATCAATACCCCATCCCCTGGGAATGGACCTTTAGGCCACTTAACAATGGACATTCCACTTGCTAAGACCATTATCTCTCCCCTCCAGAGTTTCCCAGAATCCCGACCCACCCAGAGAATTCTCCGCCCAGAAAAAGCCCGCTTAGAGTCCTTTAAAAACCTCTGACTTCCCGTCTTTGGGGGCTGGTGCCATTTTGAGGCTTAGC